TAGACAGACATCATGTTGCAACCAGATTCCTGTGCGTGTGGGATGAACAATTTAGAATTGTTCCAAGTCCCCCCGACTAATATTGCTTTAGAAGACTCCAAATGGGAAGAATATTACCCTATTTCCAGTACTTTAGATTCGGATACGGCTCCTATTGAATTTGAAATTAATGGACAAGGAGATCAATATCTGGATTTATCTCAAACGTATGTTCAAATAGTGTGTAAATTTACCAAAGAGGATGGGACTAATCTGACTGGAGCTGGTAGTACTTGCGCCCCGGTGAATAATATCTTCCATTCTTTGTTTACGGAAATCGATCTCAGTGTCAATGGAAAAATAGTGACTCCTGGCACCGATACTTATCCTTACAAAGCTTATCTGGAGAAATTACTTTCTTACAAACCCAGAACTTTAATGACCCAGATGAGAGCTTGTAGTCTGTGGGAAAAAGATACAGCAGGACACATGGACGAAGTAGGAGTAGCAGACCTTGGAGTGGCTGAAAATAAGACATTTGATGTAACCCCAAGTGGAAATGGTGGTCCCGATACTGTGACCATTAACAAACCTATCCTCCCAGAGTTACCGGCCAATTCTAAAAACGAAGGATTTAGAAAACGTCACCAGGCTATCAAAGATAGTAAGAAAATAACCTTGTATGATCGTTTACATCTGGATTTATTTCAACAAGACCGATTTCTACCGAATGGAGTAGATATCCGTTTGAGATTTAATCGAGCTAAACCTCAGTTCTATATGATGATCAAAGATGGAAGTACGGGAAAAGTCAAAATATTGAGCATGATCTTATGGGTGAGAAAAGTCAAACCCACAGCCGTCATGATGAATGGTATTAATCAAAGTTTGAACACTCACAGAGCTAAATATCCATTGAGAAGAGTCGAAGTGAAAACCTTTACCATACTCACAGGAACACAATCTAAAATCACGGATCATCTGTTTCAAGGCCAGATGCCTAAACGCATCATTTTAGGTTTTGTGGACAATGCGGCATTCAACGGAGATAAAACTAAAAATCCGTTTCATTTTCAAAATGTGGGAATTAAGAAATTAGATGTCAGTATTAACGGAGAGACCATGAGTACTCGTTGTTTCGAACCTAATTTCAATGAAGATTTATATCTGAGATCTTATCTGAGTTTATATCAAGCACTGGGAAAATTAGGAGAAGATTGGGCCCCGGACATCACCCTAGAAGAGTATAAAAACGGATACACTTTATGGGGCTGGGATTTCACGAAAGATCAAGAAGCGCAATCGGATAAATTCCACATCATAGAAACCGGAAATCTGAGAGTAGAAGTCCAATTTACTAACAATACGGTGAACACCTTAAATTGTGTGGTGTATGCAGAATTCGATAATCTGTTAGAAATCAACAAACAGAGAGAAGTCAGTATTGATTATTAATGGATACAGGACAGTTAAAAGAAGTCTTATCCAGAGAATTAAAGAGTTCTTTTGGTGGTGTGTACCCTTTAGATTTATTACCGAATCAATTAAGACCTCAAGAAAAAGCCATTGTGGTGAATACGGATCCTCAAGATAAACCTGGAGAATATTGGGTATGTTTGTATTTGTCCAGTCCAGTCATCGAATATTTTGATTCTTATGGATTTCCTCCCTTACAAAAAGAAATTCAAGATTTTATCCATCGTCATGCTCAACAATGGATTTATAATCCGTACCGATATCAAGCTTGGAATACAGATGTATGCGGACAATATTGCGTGTATTATTTACATCAAAGACATAAGAAGAGAAAAACCGCAGATGAGTGGTTATTCCCCTTTGACCATAGTACAGCATTACAAAGAGATCATTATGTAGCTGAATGGTTTAAAGACACTTATCATAAAAGACCTACGGGTCATGGACAAACTTGTCAATGTTTCTATCAAAATGTATTGTAATTGTTATTGTTCTTGTTATCATTAAAAGAATTGAAAAAAATCTATTCTTGTTTTTTTTTGATAAAAAATGGGGTTTCCCCATGATACTAAATATAGAAAAAAAAGGTATAAATACAAGGTGTAAAATGAAAAAATCTATCAGTTATTGATGTGTCTTAATCATGGGTAACACGTCTAGTCAAGAAAAGAGTAAAATTCCATTTGGAAAGAGAGTTCTGAGAGAGGAAGATGTGGATAAAGGTATACCAATTCAAATACAGGAGGATGGAACTATTGAAATCCTTTCTCATGAAAAATATAATCAATTATGTCCAGAAAAGGATAATGATGGGAGAGATTACATTGAAAGACCCTTGACTGCAGAAGAAGAATATACCCATTTATTACCAAAAACAGATTATCCTGAAAGACCTAAAAGAAGCTGTGTCCAAAAAAAAAAGTATTTTGAGAAAAAAAGATTGACACAGGATTGTAAGAGAAAGAATCATGGTAGAATCTGAATAAATCATTTAAAATTATCTTTGAATTGTTATCTATATAAAAAAAGAAGTGTCACCCCCAAAAAAATTTCATTGTTTCAAACATGAGTCTGACAGAAAGATGTATCATGGAAATCAGAACTCAATTGTTGAAAGACATTAAAACTCATTATGAGAACCAACATAAAGAAGATCCAGGCAATCATTATATTGCTAAATTTAAAAAGGAGAGATTTAGAAGAGCTGCTAATTGGATATTTAATTTAACTGGAGGTCACCAGGAAGATATAGATCAAATCATTAGAAGTGATTATCAATACTTGATCTTACAAAAAGAAATGCATCCAGAAACAGGAAAACTTCATCATGTGAGAGGATTCCTTCAAATGAAACACTGGACCCATGAGAGAAACATGTACAAAATCATTCATGGGTTAACCTGTTTTGATATGTCTCACAGCACACCAGAATTAGAAAGAACATTTTATAAGCAAGGTGGCAACTATGAAGAATATGGGACTTTAAAACCTGAAATGAGAAACAAAGAATTAATTCCAAGAGATTGTAGATTTACTTGAATAAATAACATGGAGCTTTTGTGTGTGTGTGTGTGTGGTTTTTTTCCCTAGACTGTGAATCAGTATGACGTCATAATCTAAGGTTTTGTGTAGTGACTGACTCAGCATAACGTAAACAAAACGTACACAGTAGTATCTCAGTAAAAAAAAACCGTAGGTCTAACATTTTATTTTTTGCACACCACCCCCCTCTGAGGGTATAAATACAAAGGTGTGTAGATGATCATGATCAGTTGACCCTTACCATGAGTCAAAGTCAGTTTGGAAAAAAAACAGAGACTATGGATATAGAGGAGGAGAAACAACAGTTATTAGAAAAAATAGAGAGTATGAATATAGATGAGGAGAAACAACAGTTATTAGAAAAAAGATTGATCATGCATATGGAAGAAGAACATTACAGTCCTCAAAGAAGAATGGAAGTGAAAACTCTGGAGGATGAAGTGAAAACTCTGGAGGAGGATGAAGAACCTTGTAATGTTTACAAGAAGTATGATGAGATCCATGACTCAAAGGACTCATACAGAAGTTACAGAGTAGCCACTAACTGGACATTTGTCATCCATGATGTGAGAGAAGAAGAAGACATAGATATGTTCATGAGCTGTGAAGATCAATTTCAATACCTGATCCTAGAAAAGGAAATTCATCCCTGGACAGGAAAAGTGCATCAAATCAGGGGATTCATTCAAATGAAAAAACCTGTAGGAGGACTGAATGTGGCTAGAATTCACTGGTTTGCAGATTTTTGTATGTCTCACAGTACACCAGAATTAGAAAGATTGTTTTACAGGCAAGGTGACAACTATGAAGAATATGGAATTCTAAAACCTGAGAAGAGAAACAAAGAATTAGAGTCCAGAGATGAATTCGGGAAATGGGAAATTGGTGCCTGGAGAGGTTTCCTGTAAAGAAAGAGAGAGAGAAATGATTGAGTATATGGAAAATTCAGATTAAAATTATTTTTAACAGTTTTATAGTTGTTATTTATTTTGTTCAGGTTATATATATAAAAAGGTGTGACAATGAAAAAAAAATTTATTCCTAAACATGAGTTTACAGGAGATACCAGGAGATTTATTACACTTTCCTGTAGAAGCTATTGTACATCAATGTAATTGTTTGACTGTAAAAGCTCATGGATTGAGTCAAAGTATAGCTATGAAATACCCCAGAGCTAATCTCTATGCGACCCGCAGACCTTTAAGGTCTAGAAATTTAGCCCTAGAAGAAGATAGAGGAATTCCAGGCACCCTTAAAGTGTTTTCTTTACAAAAACCTGTAGTCATTTGTCTGTTAGCTCAATGGGATTATGGCACAGGACATTATAATCGCCTACCTTATTATCAAGATACACCAGAAAATAGAGAAAAATGGTTTCAAGCTTGTTTACAAGAATTGGGCACTTTACCTTACCAGACTTATGCCTTTCCTTATAAAATAGGATGTGGTTTAGCAGGAGGAAATTGGACACATTATAGACAATATATTGAACAATTTGTACACACTTATCAAAAACAAGTGTACATTCTTCATAAACATTGATTGTGTGTGTGTGTGTGTGTGTGTGTTATAAAGATTGTGTTATAAATAAATAAAATAAAAAAATGTGTTTATGTTATTTTATTTTTAAAAAAAAAGATTCATGTTTTACAAAAAAAAAATAGTGACCTGGTGTTGATAAGTTTTCTATAACCTTGAATGTTCTTAAAAAGGTATCTATTCGAATGATTAAAGTGGCCCTTAAAAGGGCCGTTGATACGTTTCTATATGAATGTTTTTTAGGTATCTTTTCGTATAGGTATCTATTCAAAATAAGTGGCCCTTAAAAGGGCCGTTTCTTTAACCTTGAATGTTTTAGAGGTATCTTTTCATAGAGGTATCTTTTCAAAATAAGTGGCCCTTAAAAGGGCCGTTTCTATAACCTTGAATGTATTAGAGGTATCTTTTCGAATCATTGGAGTGGCCCTTAAAAGGGCCGTTGGTTGATTTTTTTTATCAAGGGTTTACTCCCTGAGAGGCCTGCCTCTACCTCTGCCTACGCCTCTGCCAGCGAACTCTGTTCGGTCTGAGAGGGGAGGTCGTTGGTTACCGGTCAACGGCTCCATAAAGTCTGGTCTTCCGGGTCGGGGTGGAGATGGCTGTCTTGGAGGAGGGGGTCTCAATCCTCGCCCGCGAGCTGCATATCTCGAAAGCCTGCGTCTACACAGAGGGCAACATTGGTTCATCTGTACCAGCACAGCTGAACACTCGAGACAAGCCGGTCGACGGCGACACTGACAGCAGATGTAATTGGACATCCGATCCTCCTCCAAGCAAACTGCACAGGAATCCATCCTGGCTGCTGCGACTTGAATCCCCCATCTAGGAATTGGCCCCGTAGTACTCACACCTGGTGACATCTCCGGGGTCGGGGGTGGTGGTCTAGCCAGCTCCGGGGAAGGTGGTGGTGGTCTAGCCAGTTCCGGGGAAGGTGCCCAGTCATCGTTGACGGGAGGGGACCAATCCGAATCAACGGATGAAGAAGCCCCCTGTCCAGCCCAATCGTTGTTAACGGGAGGGGTCCAATCCGAATCTACGGAGGAATCCCACTGTCCAGCAGATGCTCCCGGGGGATGACTGGGTGACCAGGTAGGAGTTGGTGGTCTTCTTGGAGGGGACGGGCTTCTAGGGTGGTCCTCGAGTAGTTCCGGACTACTCAGAGGGGCTGAATACGAAGCAGCAGGTGGTGTTGAATCTGTCCTCCTCCTTCTCCTTGGCTGGTCATCTTCACTGGTAGACGGCGATCTTCGTCTTCTTCTACGATGTCTTTGTCGTCGTCGCCGTCTACTTCTTCTCATCCCGTTCAACAGGTCACTGGCTAGGCCCAGAGTAGCTATCGGCCAGCGAGCTAACTCTGTCCCGGTGTTGATGTCCCGCACAATCCAGACATTTACGACCTCAACGCCATCAACCAAAAAGTAGTTGGGAACGTCGTCCTCAGCCATACTGATACGGTGTCAGCAGAACTGATACTAACAGAATGACACCGAGCTCTGGCAAGCTGCCGTATTTATGCGCACATCACGAGCGTAAAAGAGCACCCCTAAACCGAGAGCCAAAAAAATCATGGCGACGTCAAATTGTGTTATTTTGTGCTTCACAAACTATACATTGGAGTGAATAACTTATTATGGGATTAGAAATACTTTCAAACATCTTACCCATCAGATGAAGGTAAGTTTCAGGCATGATTTCATAGTATTTTTGATGCATGACATTTATCTGTCGTCTAGAAAAGAAGCATTGATGTTGAACCGAAGGGGTAAAATCGGGTCACCTGAATACATAAAATAAGTATTTTAACCTTTTTTAAAGTGTGATACAAGGAAAACTTAATCTATACAATGAGATTAAACCTAGAGAAAAGTGTTGATACTGTTTTTAAATCAAAGGAATGGTTTCAAGTGTAAAAATATAGCCAGAGTCGGTTTAGGCATAGACACAAGAAGGCGAAGGTCGGCCATTTTTTGTAGAAAATCACTGTAATGACTTGTATAGAGAATATAGGATTTTTTTAAATCGTGACCATTTCTGACTGGAATTTTTAAATAAATCAAATCAGTTTAGTTAAAAAACAATTTGAATCCACTTTATTTCCAGTGGGAAGGTCTAGATGTTTTATAAATATTGATAAAACACACAGCGTCTTATTACAAGGCACAGCATTCTATACACATAAGCATGATTTTTTTTTAGAAATCCTGAAAGATTTTGAGATAAAACAGAATAGTTTTAAATTCAATCTATATCTACTTTAATGGAAATGGGAATAGATTTTTTTTTTCTGACTAAACAAAAAAAAAATCTCAGCGTCTAAAAAATCTCAGCGTCTAAAACAGGGCACAAGATGGCGTCCTATTTGTATAGAAATCATAACAAAAGACTTATTGTGGTTGACATCTTTTTATTTTTTATTTAATAATTGTTCAAATTGTCGAATTCTCCTCTGAAATCGTAATCGATCGGCTACTATAGCCATCCATGGACTTTTTCGATCTTCGGGTGGTAAATGATAAATTTCATTCAGGCTGGTATCAAAAGTTACACATTTCTTAACATGTCTGAAATTTCTACATATTTCATCCCGTATTGGATGCATATTTTCTCTACCGCTTCTATTTCCTTCCAGAGTAGACATACTTTGCTCCCTTCGGGATGACATAGGAAACTGTAAGGTTTTCCTAAATAGTGGCTCATTTTCATCCCGTACATTTTTTCTGGTAGAGTCTTTTTGATCCGTTGACAAAGGAAATGTATAATGGCTAGTCTCCCCAGTGTCGGATGATGTAATAAACCCAGGCATTGTAACCACAAGTCCTGAGTATTTTCTATGATGGTCGTCGCTCTCTGGAACACTGGTTCCGCCTCCGGGGGTAAAGCTGCTGGATTTTTCTCGATACATTGCATTAAAAAATCATACCCTTCCAACACTAAAGAGTGAGTGTGTTTATGTGTTGACATGATAATCAATTGTGAAGAAATGACTAGAAATGTTTTCTTATTTATACCCCTGTTATCTATACAAGACGTACACAGAACGTACAATGTACTGACTCAGCAAAGTACTGACTCAGCAAAACGTAGGTAAAACGAGAGAGGGGTAGTAAGCGCGAGGGTCTAAAACGTAAGTCAAACCTATTTTTGCACACGAAATTCAAAAGGGTATATAAACCAGAACTGGAAATTTAGGATCATTCTTACTGGGCACTTGGTACTTGACAGACGTAGAAATATGGCACAAGCAATGATGAATTCCGTGGAAAATCGTAATTATATTCCAGCTACCAATGAAGGGTTAGGATATGCTCTACCGACAATGCCTGACACGCAGGATCCCATCGGATTTGATCTGGGACTTTATAACATGCCTGAACCCATGACAAAGGAAGATATGGGCATCTTAACCACCACTTTGGATGGCATTGTTAACATGCTGACTCAACTGAAAGAGTACAACACCAGTGAATTTTGTTTGATTCGTGGGAAATTGTCCCGATTAGAAGTTAAAGTCGCTAGAATGGAAGAAAAAATGAGAGGATACGAGAAAAATGAAAACACAGGAGCTGGCAAGAAAAATGAAAACACAGGAGGTGCCAAGAAAAGTAAACAGACAGACCCATGTTTCATATGTAAAGAATTAGGACATTGGGCTCCGGACTGTCCCAGAAAAAAACAGAACTTATGCTACAAGTGTGGAAATTTTGGACATTGGGCCCATCAGTGTACAGATGACAGTATGGAATTAGTCAAAGAAGTCGAAAAACTGGAGAAAAAGGCACAAGAAAACAAGACCACCCAACAGAAGACCAGTCAACAGGATCAAAAGCAGATTAACAACAAGAGGAAACTTCCTACTACCCAGACGGAGAAGACCCTGAAACTCCAGAAGAAAAAGTAAATATGATGTACACATTACTTTGAATAAATCATCTTACACACTTTTGACTGTGTTATTGTTTTTTCCGTTTTCAGAAAATAGAGCTCTGTGTGAATGACACACATGACGTCACAATGGTATACTTGAATCGATGCCAAGATTGTGTATTGCCTAGGCCTGACTCAGCACAAAAAGTAGATCAAACGTAGACCCCCCTTTTTTTTTACTTGGGTTTTTCCAGGGTGTATACTAGATTGAACAGGCCAGGGGACCAAAAAAAAGTGTACTCAGTTGACCCGCCTATCCAGGATCTGGGGGGACAAAAAGTGCACTCAGTTGACCCGCCCCTCCAGGCTTCTTATACTACTTATATTAATATATCAATTTATCAGTTATGATCTGAAAAAGAAAATTTCCTTTTGGAAGAGTTTTTAATTCCTTATTTTGAACAATTGTTCATTTTGGTGAACACTCCACTGCCCCACACCCTTGTTTTTTGTAATGATCTCCTTGTAAGTAAGTACATATATATAGTTGCTAACTGAACACTGATCAAATTTTGAAATTATTAAATGGGAGCATATCGAGGCGTAAATAGCAATACATGTCGTCGGAAGAAAACGTCGTTCAACACGTGAGTTCTTGTGTATCTAACGCACCAAGTTAGCCTTATACAAGGAAGGTCGTTTCTTATCTAATGAGTGAAACTCTCACGTTGGATCCAACGCAGGTTTTGTTTATATATCCATATGGAAGGTCACAAGTTGTAATACCAGACTGACCACTCTGTCGAAAGATACACGCGCTTTTGTTTCCATCTGTAGACTTCATTGACTTTTTTATGAAAATGTCTTGGAATCCCATTGTTAGGTTCCTGTGTCTGGTTCTTATATCCTCTTGCGAAGGTGTACGCAAAGTTGGACAAATTCCTCTAAATTCGGCGGCATTTGCTAATGTATACGAAAATCCAAATGCTCGATCCCCAAATGAAAAATACGACTTGCTTCTGTCAACATTTTCGGGAAACCCATTTGTTTCAGGCACCGTCAGTCTTTACCGTGGCATAGGACAGCAGATAAAAAATCTAGGAAATGTTCAGAAAGAAGTTCTTGCCAATCGAATGTCTTGGCCCAATGAAGTAGCTGGAGTACCAGGTTTGACTGTGTTTTTTTAAGACTACTAAGCAAAATAGTTGATTTATTACTGGTATTCCTAAAAATTCTCCTTAAAGAATTGTTACTGGTATTCCTAAAGAATTGTTCCTTATAGAGAATTTTTTCTCCAAATACGATAATTTTAATATTTAAGATTAAAACGAACAAATAGAAGATTTTTATTCTTTCAACACTTAACTAATCAAGTTTGATAATGTAATTTTGAATCCTACTGAATGAAGTATTATAGTGATTCAACGAAGTTCTAGTAATAATAAAAAACTGGCCCAGAGGGGGTATTCTAATCAAAGTGGTATTCAATTTCAGAAACAATACCTCCAACCACTGCAATACAACACTAAATCCTTGCAATTTCATTCCTTTAGAAAGCGTCTTTGGGAAGCGTATGGTGGTCATTCCTGACGGATTTCTAGTTCCGTTTAAGGACGACGGATACATATATATTGTGGATATATCCGGAACTACTCCCAAGGGACCGTACAAACTGACAGATCATACGGAGGGAAAATGGTTCTACCACCGCGTGCTATGGAAGGACATGGATGGTGATGGCGATTTAGACATAGTCACGTGTAGGGCCAGAGAGCCAGTTTTCTCGATTTTCTGTAAGTTCCTTATGATAAGTACATTATTTGAATAGATCTAAAATTTTTAGGTATGACGATAAAATTTACACCCTTAGACTAATATTCATGTTAAAATTACATGTAATTGTTATATCCAAGAGAAATGCAAACTCGACACCAAAATAAAGTAATACTATTAGGCCAACTTTAAAATAATGTTTGCTTGCCCTCTCCCGACTCATGATGAAAAAAATTGAGTCGGAAGGTAGGTGAGAAATATTTTTTACGAAAAAGTTTCAAAATCAAAGGTTAATTTTCAAAATCTATTTTCCGGAATGTATAAAAAAAAATAATTGCTTCCTGGAGATTAAAAAAAAGTTTTGAGTCGGGCCATTTTTAGCCAGTCGGTCGGAAAAGGGCAACCAAAGAATTTTAAAGATGGCCTTATGGATAAATTGGGAATACCAAGAATCATTTTGAAATGATATAGATATAATTTAATTTTGTTTGTATTCTAGTCTCTGATTGGTTAATATCCAAAAAGGAACACAAATTATTTCTGTATAACTTGGTTTGGTATGGGGACACACCCCCCTGACAACCAGCTGAATCATCTGTATCCATACAATCCTCTCATTTCCAGTCCTCGGGATTCATGGAAAATTCCAGATTGAATAAATATACCTTTAACTTCAAACAATAATTCGATCTTACCACATGTAAACAAGCTGCTAGGCCTATGTATCAGTTTTTACCTCCCCTCGCTTCCCATCACTTCCGTTACTACGATTGTATTATTGAGCGGCAAATTTGAACTAATAAAAAGCAACGAAATTTTACACCCATAGTTATTTAATGATTTTAAAATTAAATTATAAGGAATGACTCTAATTCTTGGCCAAATTATTCGAGTATAACCTGGTTTGGGTCAGTTTACGCTGTTTTATAATCCGCTTCGCGGATTATAAAGCGTAAACTGACCCAAACCAGGTTATACTCGAATAATTTGGCCGAGTATAACCTGGTTTGGGTCAGTTTACGCTGTTTTATAATCCGCTTCGCGGATTATAAAGCGTAAACTGACCCAAACCAGGTTATACTCGAATAATTTGGCCAAGAATTAGAGTCATTCCTAAAATAAGGATTACCCCACTTTGTTCAAAGATTTCAATTTAATTCTACTGAAGCATCAAAAGATACGGAGCTGCTCTGGCTAGAAAACCCGGACAATCATCAGTACACAACTCCATGGAAACAACATGTTATCACGCATGGGCCCGATGTCTACTTTAGGAATATTAAGCTTAATACGACAGATGGGGAATATGATGTCATTGTTACGTCAGAGTTCTTTCCAAAGAAACTAACTATTCATTGGACGACAGACAGTATGAACCGATGGAATGATCTGACAAAGGTTCCAGCTTCGTTCTAATTAAAAGTAGATCCTTTGATCCGCTTACGAAGATCCTGTTTTGGGTAGCAATCTGCATAGCAAAATGATCAAAGGATCTAATGTTAATATTGGTTCTAGTCTTTGTTAAGTGTACCAGAGAAACTAATAATTTTTAAAGCACAACTTTGTGATTAAAATATAGACGTTTCAAAAAATTCTTTGTTAGGTTCATTCTAGAACAGTGGACACAACAGCTGGAGCATTATTTGACATCGAGGTCAATGACGTCAATGGTGATGGACGTAAGGACCTCCTAGTGGTTTCCAATGGAATGAACGGGAGTGTATTGGTTTATGAAATTCCAAAAGATTTCCGGTAACCCCTTTGTTTCTTGTCAAATATTGATAAATTTTGAGTTTTGAAGCCAGATTTTTTTTTAAATTCGGTTGTAAATAATTGTCTTTTTTTTTTATTCACGTCTGTTTTACATTTGTAGAAGGGACAGTTTCCCAAGACACACAATAGCAACAAATTTCGTTCCAAGAACCAAAGGCCAAGGAAAAGGTGCTCCTGGATCGGCATTCTGTATTCGCTCTCGTGCATCTGACAAAAGGTTTGTTGAATTTTTTTGAATAAAACAAACAAAATTAAAAAAAAAAAATACGATACTGAGTATGTGCCTTTTAAATCGACTTATTTTTTCTCTTACGAAAATACAATACTATAGTATATTCCCTAGCCTAAAGTGAAAGGAGCCTACCTTTCTCCTTACAGCACGCGACCAATGATACTGGTGTCTGGCGACGATGATGGACGAGCTTATTTCCTAGAACCCAACAGTACAAATGCCCTAGACTGGACTTATACCAAAAACACGTTCCATGACGCCGGTAGCGGAACAGTGGGACAAATTGCCTTCGCAGACGTCGATGGCGACGATTTCATTGACCTCTTTGTTCCAAACTATAATCTTAACGATGTCTCTATATATTCATTTGCACCTTCTGAACAAACTGTTTTTGGTTATAAATGATTAATATATTGTATAATATCATTTAAATGTATATGAATTATTTATTTTTATTCCATGTGTATACAAGTGTTGATAATCACTTGCAATTTTATGCTAAGTAAGAAATATATTTGTACAAATTAATTCATGTCAATCTTGATACATATATGAAAGTGCATTCTAATTTTTTGTTGCCAACATGTTTGTTAATGTAAATAAAATATTACATGTTAGTTATTATTGAGGAACATGGATGGTACAAGCGAACATAGTGAAACATCACACATGGATTTATGAATTTCGCAGTCTTCATTCTGCTGGTGATAACTCTTTTACATCTAGGATACCAGAAATAGATTCAATATTGGCTGATATTGAGAGGAATGCAGTGTTTAATTAATTGGTTCTCGAGATTACTCATGAGGAAATTGTAGCTGCAATAGCTGTAATTTAAAATCTGGAAATGCAACATCGCCGCTAGCTAAGGATTTCTGATCCGCTCCACTCCTCGCAGAAACTCTTGGCTAGCGAAGATGGAAAAGCAAGAAACTTGATTTTATATCCAATGAATTGCTAAACTATACAGTCAGTCAATTCCGTATATACTTAAACTCTCTAATACTAGTAATTGTTTCATATATGGTGTCTATCCTCAAGCTTGCGGAAAATGGATACACAAGTCCAATTTTTAAGTCTGATGAACCAAAGGACCCCTCACAGATTATAGGGATATCACACTTACCAGCACACTTGGCAGGTTATTCAACAGCATTCTGAATTCAGATTAGATAAATTTCGTTATGATCACAATATGTCACAAATGGGTTTTAGCAAAGATGCAAGAACTGATCATTTATTTGTTCTTATATGTTTTATTGATAAATACTGTAACACAAAAAAAGAAGAGACTTTATGCTTGTTTTATTGACTTTCATGAAATCTTTAACAGTGTTATTCATACAGGATTAAAGCTCAGATTACTTCACGTGAATGTGGGCGCTTTCCATATTACCATAAGTAATATGTATAAAAATAGTCAAGCATGTGTGAAAATTGGAAGATTCCTCACAGATCCCTTCCCAATAACTTTAGGTCTTTATCAAGGGGTTAACTTGAGCCATTCACTATCTAAAATATTTATAAATGATTTTCTAGCAATTTGGATAAATGTATTGACTAAATATTACTTCAGACACCAACTGTTAATTGTTTAATGTATGCGGATGACATTGTTAATTTATCATCATCAACTAAAGGTATACCAGCAAGACTTGCTTACCTTGAAAAGTATTATTCTAATTGGAGTTTAAAGGTAAATATTCAAAAAAGTAAAGTCGTGATCTTTAATAAAGCTGGTAGTAATATTAAGTAATTTTTTTTTATCTACAAATATCTTGGGAGTTCAACCAACTGATAATTTTCCGGAAAAAAACTATTTCATCAAATCTGTAAGTTTTCATGTAGAAAAGTCAGAGCTCTATAAAAAAGCTTTGAAAGCCTACTTTAAATATATATATATATATATATATATATATATATATATATATATATATATATATATATATATATATATATATATATATATATATATATATATATAGTACTACAAGATTTCTCAAATGTGGAAATTTAGAAAATAGTGGTTGTTTTAAAAATTTACCTTGTAAAATAATCCACTTTAACATTTTTAGCTCTACTGGTCAGAGACCAGAAGAGCTTATGCGATAGTAAGGTGTCCGGCGTCCGTACTGATGAGACTTGTGGGACACCAAAATTGTGGGACTACAAATTTTACACTGTGGGACTGTACAAAGGTTTTTGTACGATCATACCAATATGGGACTCTGACTAAAAGTCTCATTAATAAGGAAATGTCTGAATAAAAGTCTCATAAAAATAATTTTTAAGGAACATAATATTAAATTTTAAATAACTATTTAGCACTGATTATTAATGTGAAACCTCAAAATGAATGGGTATTGTAAAGACTAGCACAGATTTTATTTCCAAAAAAAAAATGAAAATGATCATATTATTATTCATTTGATTAATATCACCAATACTATTCAAATACATATTCAAAATTTTAAAGGTTCTTTAATTTATCTGTAAAGTCCCATTAAATTTACTTTTTGGGGCTATGCCTTGTTTTTTTTTGAGACTTTGAATAGTCCCAGAAGTGATTTGTATTTTAATTACTGAGGTTTTATGGGACTATTGTCTTGTATTACTATATAATGTCTTGTAAGACTTTGAATAGTCCCACAAAATGATAAGTATATTGACTTCTGATGTTCTGTGGGACTATAGTCTTGCACAACTATACCATTGTTTTATGAGACTTTGATAGTCCCACAAAATGATTGATGTTTTAATGGCTGATGTTTTGTGGGACTATTGTCTTGTTCTACTATACAATGTCTTATGAGACTTTGAATAGTCCCACAAAATGATACGTATTTTAATGGCTGATGTTTTGTGGGACATTGTCTTGTACTGCTATACAATGTCTTATGAGACTTTGAATAATCCCACAAAATAATTGGTGTTTTAATGGCTGATGTTTTGTGGGACTACTGTTTTGTTTTACTATACAATATCTTATGAGACTTTAAACAGTCCCACAAAATGATTGGTATTTTAATGGCTGATGTTCTGTGGGACTATTATCTTGTTCAACAGTAACTATACAATGTTTTATGAAATATTAAAAATAAAACATTGGAAATGTAAGACTTTATTTAGTATAGATTTATATAGGTAACAATTTTCAAAACTATAACAATATATAAATATTGCATGTGGTTGAGTGTAACATCGAAAATTTTTACCCCAAGAAAACGATTGTCAACCGACGGGCAGACAAGGTTGACAAGTATTCGAGGGTTGAAAATTTTTATTGTTATACCTTTAAAAATTGTTTCCTATATAATTCTATGCTTAAAAAGTCTAACATTTCCAATGTTTTACTGAGCGGTCATAAAAGAAAATCGATGTTTTACCGCAGAGCGAGATACTGGACCTGTCGATGAGATGTTGGACCGCTTACCTCACAGTGTGGGCGGGGTCAGCTGTATCTTATTTGCATTCGTTGGAGTTCGACAGAACTTTACGGAATTGACCAACTTCAAACCGCAGTGCGGGTAAACAAAATTTACATCATGTTATGTCAAAACAAAAAGTAAAAGGTATAACAAAACATTTAATGACTGTGTTCTCGGGCAAAATGCACTTTGTCGACCCCTCGAACCAAACTGTTTGCCTTCGGCCTAAGGCAAACAGTTTGGTTCTTGGGTCCAACAAACGCATGTTGCCCTCGAACGCAGTCAATAAATGTATAATGTTACACTCAACCACATGCAATATTAATTATACTGTATTATTCTGAATGTTTTATACGAATACATATTACATTGAACCTTCAGATAATATACAGCACATGCATCGCCAACAAAGATTTTGAGAAATGTGATTTTCAAAAGATTTTACACAACATGTCAGAAAATTGAAGTGGGCGAAGGCTGTGGATACTGTTTTCTTAAGGGAAATAGCCCCTGAGATGAGTCATTTTGAGGCTTTTTCTGTTTAAAACTTAGAAATGCACCAAATAAATAACGTCATATTTCAAGAATGGGCCTCCCCAATTTCATAACTATTTGTAAACATTGCACAATATAGCCAAAACTGTACCGTAAAGGATGGAATAATTATGAAGAAGGAAAGTATAAATATTTTCCCTTGCGGGAAAAGTCAGTACTTATTATAAGAATCACCTCATTGCCATCCCCTCGATTAGAAAGTCTACAGAAGAAGGAGAAGAGTGCTGGCTTTATGAAACCAGTTGGAAATAAGTACATGTAGACATCAAATTATTGTACATGATTTTCATTGCTTGATAAAAGCAAGAACTTGGTAAACGGGATAGTGCCACATGCTCTCTAGAGAAGAAAATGAAAACACGAGGGCGACAATGCAATCGCGACAGAGCGATGATTCGAGGGCCACAATGAAGATAAGCATTTATTTATCCTTGCGTTCATCGCACTAACTTTGTAGCCATTCTCGGATTCTCAACCCTGCTATCTCATTTCCTAGCCTTGATGATAAGTTGATCTCCCTCGAACCTAAGAGGAAGAAAGTGACACTATGGGAGCCATTTGCCCTTTCAGACATTACACATTAACAGAGATGGAATGTAGCTGACAATGTATATGAATCAAGATGCAGATGAATAAAATTATAGGCTCACTCCTGCTGATGTGAGACCTTCCTTCACGAAAAAATGCAACTGTATGGACATGAAAAAGTCACAATAGAAATTTTGCTGTGTTGCCAGTAGTTCTGGAGGTTTGCAAACGATGTCCAACGAAGATTTTTTTATTAGCTTCTCTTCTCACAAATGAAGATCCCTCAGGATTGAATTAAAGTGTTGCCCCCCCCCCCCCTCTTTACCACAGGATGCTACATTCCAAGTTGTGTTGAAAATGGTGAAGACTGTACGGAATGTACCTACATGTAAGATGATATAGTTTAACTTTTTTGAGTGACTAAGGATGGTGTATATATGCTTACTTCATTTTTTTTTGTTTTGTTTGCATTCCGGTGAACTGCATATGTCATAGAAGAGATAAGTAGGTTTATATTAAATACATGACGTGTTTATGTGTCCTAAATTATATATACATCATACAATGCATCAGTTTTCTATATTGGGTTTGCTTTGTACAATGCCCTTCAATGAATATAACAAAACACATGTTCTTTTTGGCAAGGAATGAGTTTATTGCTCGAACAAAATATCCCATCTAGATCTTACAGAAACTTCTTTTCACTAAAGAAAACAAATTACATATTGGATGTCATATTTCATCCTGGTCAAAGTTAATTACAAGTTTTCACCTGATGATAAAAACTGTGTGTAAAAAGAGGGTTAGGTTTTTCATAATTGGCCAAAGCATTTTTGCAGTTTTCAATGGGTATACTGTTTGCCTATGACAAAAATTAAAAGCAATATTTTTTTTAAAAAATTATTATAATTAGGAACATATATAGATAAATTTGAATATTATCTATGAAACATATATATTAAATAATTTGAACATTAATTAATTGTAGTATTATATTAATCCTTGCTGCTAGTCTTGAGCAAGGAGTCTATAGCTAGGTCACACATATTTACATATACACAGCAACTGTCACAATAAATAGAATAATGAAACAGATATATCTAAAAGGCTCTAAAGTAATTAGTGGTTAAAAAACATTTGTAGGCAATTAATCCTCCAAAAAAGACCAATGGAAGAAAATATCTTTCCACCTTCCATTAATATTTTTGATGGTTTTGATATTCCAATATAATTTGTTGTCTCTTGGACAAAAATTAAGGTTTACATGTACAAGCATGCAGCAATAAAATATTTTTTGGCAGGTTAAATAAGTTTCAAAAAACAAAACTAAAATTTGAATAGAATTCCATTACACAGCACCTTTGACTACGAAAATGAATATGCAATTCACAATATGTTTGTGAAACTATCCCTTTCAATAATAAGAAAAACTTTCATACATTCATAACCGCATTACATTGTAATTGTTAAATATTACCATACATTTGTAGCTAACATGTATACATTATACATTCTAAATTTACACTTGCTATGAGAAATTAGCCACAGTCCAGTCAAAACAATGCTTCAGAAAAAATAAAAAGAGTTCGAAATATGAAACATTTTTATACTGCATGTGTCCAGAAAATAAAAACAAATGTAGGTCGAAGAACATTGGAGCCACACAGGAGAAGAACGTTGAAATCATGGGTTACTACAGGATAATCGCCAAATTCTGATGTTTCCTTACTAATTCTTCATTATTGCTATAATCAGCTCTTCTTTGTCTATTTCTGCATAAAAGAAAGAAAGACAATAAATGAACTATAAGTCTTCATCATCTAAACTCTTGGGATGAAAGATCATTTTTCAACATCAATGCAAATAACAACATAAATACAACATAGTACATGAACTTCAAATTGTGAATTACTTTTTTATAAAAGTATTAATAATTAAAAACCTTTGTAAAGAACAAAAAAATAAAGCCTGCTGATTACATTTTAAGGAGGAACAGCCATCTGCTAAAGGGAAATAGCTCTAAAAATTTATAATAATTTTTTCATATCTTCAAACAGTGATTGCTGTTAAACTTTGCTTTTCAAAATTTCACTTTATGTTAATTTTCTGTTAGATAATTGTCATTATTGCATAAAAATTCCATTTTTATTATATTAACAATTACAAATTCCATTCTCTAAGCAGATGGATAATCTCCTTTAGATAATACATTATATACCATGCTTTACTAGATTTTTACATCTTGCCTGAATTGATGCAAATTGTTCATTTAGTCTTTATTTCTATTTTTCACAATTCAGTTCAGGCAGGATATTTTGACATCCAAAGGGAAAAAAAGGAATTATTCTTACTACTTTCTTCCTAAAAGCTTATCACCGATTAAGTTAACAATTTAAAATTAAGAAAATACATGTAAAAAACACCACTAAACACCTCTATGTTTATAGAGGTAGTTTCAGTTGATGCAAATTAAAAAACTGCAAACAGGATGAATGAAATATCTAACTTAAAATTTTCTGCCACCGATGAAATTTAACTATTATAGCATAATTTTACCCAGCTTGAAGGATGACTGGTAAAGTGCAAGCTAGTATACAGCATGTAAAATGCATTGAATCTTAATAGTGGAATAAATTAAGCACAACTAAAAAAAAAAGTACATGGATAAAATACTAATTCAAAATACTGTTAAATGGAGAGAAAAAATGTGGATAAATTAAGTACTACTTCAAGATATATTAAGTTAAAATTACCATGATTATAGGCAAAGGAGTGCAGATGTTATATTTATTTGTCCGTGAGCTTAGCAATATGAGTTTATGGAATGGTGAATTTAGGATATAGGAATGAGTTTCTAAAGAGTGATCCAGGGCCTTTTTTTTGCCTTGAAGGGGGAAATAACTCCTCTACAACATACCTCAATATTTAGCTAGCGTAGAAACCATGGTGATAATTTATTCCGCCTGAAAAGAGTAAGTTTTGCCAGCATTCCAGAACAAAGAATATGTAAAATGAAAAATTCTTTTTCACACAGCATTACCCTGTCCACCATCTATAGTGATGGCACCAGTGTAGTCTGCCAAACATGTGACCAAAAAACATTAACTGTCACAATACAGTTTAACAAATCATACAAAAATGCTATGAAAACATGGAAGTTAGTATGAAGGACAAGGAATGGTATGAGGCAAATCGTCTCTCATTTGTAATAAAAATTAAAAATCAAACTGATTCATTAATTTAATTGATTAATTTATTTTTCGTATACTGTATAACACTAAAATTTTGCGACACCTTACTTTCTTGAGATAGTTATTTGGTAATACAAGCAAGACAAAATTTTCTTGAATTCAGGTTATTGTTGTATTAAATCCTTACTTATCAACGATTGAATTTCGGCATTATTAGCAATAGCTTTGAGGTCACTAAATTTAAAATACCATATTCAAGATATGTGTTACCTTTCATAGCATTACAGTATAAAGTTGCCAAAATTAATCCTCACTAAAAGTATATACAGATTTTTATGGACAAATGGTTTGATTTGTGTCCCTCTAAAAATTCAATTGATATGGTAGAATGAGGACATAGCAAGAAGACAACATTTATAATTCAGAATCTGACACCTGATTCAAAATTTGTAAATGAATTTGAGTCACATCATAAACTGAAGTTATAACAGCTAGAGTAATCTAGCTCAAATGAATTGCTTTGCGATGAAATATATGGTGAAAATGAACAGAATTCAAGCTCAGAAGTCCATTTAAACAATACAAATCAGGAGCAGAGCAAACACGGACCTATTAAACATAAGAGATGGGATCAGGTGCCATGGAGGAGTGAGCATCCCCTGCTGACCGGTCACACCTGCCATGTGCTCCTTGTCATGATCGGGAAATAACAGAGAAAACCAAAGACAATTCAGTGTGTAAATTCAGTGTGCAATTCATCCAAAAACGGGGTTCCAAAAGGGCAAGAAACCTACCTTGTTTTTGAAAACATTTAAATATATTTAAGTTAAATAAAAAGGAAATTCACCTTTCCTTGATTTTTTAATTGATTTTTTAATTTTTTTCTTTTGAAAAGGTAGGTCTTTATTAGTTTTCATAATTTACAACAACAACATTGGAAGGACATAATGGATTGAAAATTTTTGTTCTACAGACATTTAATAACTTAAATTGTCTACATAACAGCATTGCTTATGAACTTAATTTGATGAATATTGATATTCATTACTTGATTTTTAAATTGGAATTTAACCTATTGCCAAATTTTTGTCATCTAGCTGTGAAAAAAATCTGTCAGAATGGATAGAAAACACTAGTAAAATTGATTCTGAAGAATTTCGAAACAATTACTGAAATTCACTTAATTTTACAATAATAATTGGAATTATTCTAATTTTGTAATTTTGAAACATATGCCCAACTTTTGAATATGTTCTTAAAATTATTTTGCTTGAAATAAGAAATTTTATGTATTTCATCTAAAATATACCATTTACTCTGATCAAGAATATGTTTTTTTTTTTAATGTTCCATGAAATACATGAAGGCATGATCAAACACTTTTTTGAGGGGGGAAAGCCAAGAAAAGGGAGAAAAACTTAAGTAGAAAAATCAATTACAGACAACAAGATTACAAAAGACTTGACATTGTTACTTTACATTTTTTTATTTGGTTTATGAGAACATTTTTAAATTCTGCTTTCATAATTCCTCTCCCTTTTAAGCTTTTCAATAACACTTATTGAAAACAAAAGATGAAAACCGAAAACAGAAGCTGAACATTAAAGCCCTACCTTTTCTTCTCCTTCTTCATCTAGTGCATATTTACTCTGGCCTGTTGACTTCAAATTGCCCCGAAAATCTGACTTATCTTTCTTAAGCTTATCAAATCTACAAGATAAAAAAAATATAGATATATAAACAATGAATTAATTGCCACTAGACTTGGCAAATTAGAAGAAAAAAATTTCAATAAAATTTGAAATAGCATATTTAACTGATCAAGAAAATAAGTTTACTTACTTGCTCTCTTTGTTGACTTTTCTAAGAACTGGTTTAATGCTGAAAGGTTAAAATAGTGAACAGTAGTGAATTATTTCAGTAAATAAATATACCTATGAACCATCATTTACATGTTATATTAATCTTTACAATTAAGATAATCTTTTCAATGAAATTAAAAATATCTTCGTCATTTGAGCAGGGGGGACATATTTGTTAATGTCTGCCTATATATCTACTTACAATTTTCCTTTGGAATCATTGACCTTAAGAGTTAGAGAGTTGATCTGAAAATTAGAGAAATAAAATGATAATAATAGCACAAACATTTAATATGGAATAGCAACAGCCATATTGTGTAACATTACCATAGTTACATGTGTGTTACCATGACTACTTACTTCTGCTTCCTGTTTTCTGACTTTCATGTTCCAGTCGTACAGTTCTTCTTCTAGAGTGGCCACTAAGGTATGCAGGTCCTTACACAGTTTTACCAATGCAGCTGTTAAAAGGTAGGAGAATTAGCTTTATAAGAAAAAGACATAAAACAAGCCTAATCTGGCATTAATTCATCTTTAACTATATCTTTTCAACAAGTAATTTTTTATTTCTATGAATTCTACTGGCTTCAGGATATACAAAAAAATTTGCTTATTTATCTTTTTGTAACAATAATAACATGCATATGCATTTATATATTTGAGAAAAAATTTCAGACTTCTATCCACAGATTTCAACCTTCTCAAAATCTAAAATGATATAGTTAGTATTGTATCTGATTTAAAAACCAAGTCAACAACAACAACAACAAAAATGCAAACAAAACATACTCAAGTAGGAATGCTAACAAAATGAAGTATGTAAGAAATTTCACAGAGACAACACCAAAAGGAAACCAACTGAGAAAGTAACCAATAAACACGATGAAATAATGTGAATAGCATCTCATACTTCAGTTGCTTTTTATCATGCTGCACAAATTCATTACAACAAATTTGATGAATGTTATTTGAATATCTTTCTACTGCTGTACTACCACAACTCAGGTAAATTATGCTGCAAATAATCATGCATCCAAGTGGAGGAAAAAAATGTCAATTGCAGGGTACAGCTGTACATCAATGTCTGTATCATACATCAACACTGAAATAAACATCTGGCAAAAGAGCAACAGAAATCATGCCAAACCATTTTTTTGTGAGATGCAATTTCCACAATTCATGCTGCAATGCTGCATGATCTTTTGAAGCTGCAATGCTTCATGCTTCTTTGAAGCCTACCCTTGTCTTTGCCTGCAGTGTCACAGGGAGGAACTCTTTCATTGATGTATCTCTCCTTCTCTTCTGCTTTAGCCTTAGCTTCATTTCTCAAATCCTCTGCTGCTTTGGCCATAATGAGAGCCTTTGAACAAAGTCCCATAAATGTTTCTTAATCTATTTTTCATATATTTTCTCTTGTCAAATTCATGCCATTCCATGCCAATGGTCAGGAAACAGTTTGGGTGCAAGTCAAGTAATGTCATTCAATTGTGAAAAAGGTCTCGTGACTACAAATGTTAACAGAACACTTGTCTAGCAAGGAGAATTTAAACTATTTACTGCATCTTGAATATAAATTTCATGCAACGTGACTTTTCATGCTATTTAAAATCTTATGCATCTTTAACAATTCAAAATGAATTTCTCATGGTTGTGTCATTTCGTTCACTTTAATACATTCTATGACTATGAAAGGACAATTTGTCCCTTAAATTTTAGGACATCTGAAGCAAAGACTCTCGACTGGTACTCATCACAACAGCTGAGGTATATCTCAAACAAACTCATGTGCAACACTATACTAGCCAAACAAATGTGACACATTCCATTGTAAGGCAGTGCAGCTTGGAAAATATTATACATGTAAATAAAAGTCTACAAAGGCAAAAATTAAAAGAGATCAGCAAAAATACCTTTACTCATGCTTTCCAGATCTGAAGGGAGGGGTGTAACTCTGTGCAGTGATCCCGATTTTAAGTGTAAGCTTTGAAAAGATGAATCGCTGGACATGCTTCCATCATCTTCATCATCAGCAGACTCAGATTCATCATGCAAATCCTAACAACAACATGCTTATGGTCATGCTTATCAGAAACACTAGGACTAAAAAATTTTCTATGAAAAACTCAAAATGTGCCTTTGAAATACAGTGTCATTGCATGTTGGAATTCTTTCAAAGGTCAAGTCTTATTTGGAAATTTTAAACTTAATACCGGTACTTGACTTGTTTACCCCCCCCCCCCAAAAAAAGAGTGTCTTATACATTTCAAAGTTGTATAAAGATGATAATCCAAACACAAAGTAATAAGACAATAAACACACTGATTTTCAATGGCTAGGACATGAAAAAAAAAAAACAAACAAACCTAGAACTACAGAATTCATTTCAATTTAAGACAGAGAGTAACTGCAGAATTGAAAATAGTCTAGTATTACATGTATTTATGAGGGGTGATCAAAAAGTTCGCAAACTATCTCTGTATCTTCATAACAACAGTTCAGATCAGAATGAAATTTGGCACACATATAGTCATAAACATGATCTATAAATAGCAGGTGTTAGCTAATATTTTACATCACTTGAAAATGAAATCAATATGTAGATGACTTGTGACAAAAAAATGTTGACTCAGTTGTGCTCAAGCAAGAAACAGCTGTAAAGTTTAAGGTAAATCTTGGAAAATCCTTTTGCTATAATTTATAATAATTTGTTCAAGGTTAATGGAGACATAGGACTCGTCAAAAGTTTAATTAGCAATTGGATAGATTGTTTTAGTGAAGGAAGGGAGCATGGTTAAAAATGTTCCTTCTGGATGCCCCATGAAAGTAAGTTGTGAAAGAGATGTGTCCTTAGTTGAGCAATTTTTAAGGAAAGATCACCAAGTCACAATTAGAAAAATAGTTTTAAAAAATTAGTATAAATATACATTAAATATCATTAAAGAAGATACGATGTGATATGAATCACAAATGACCTTCTTCTTTGAAATAGGATTCTACAAACTGTGTGTACATTTACTTTAAATAAATTGACCCTGATACTAGATTTTACCTTCAATGAAGACATACCAAACACGGAATTATAGAAAAAGTTACACTTTAGAGATCAGGTCAGGCAAAGATAAACAAAATTGTAATACCTTGATATTTTATTTACATGAAATAGAGACCTTCAATACTTTTCATACAATTTTCTAAATTCATTCCATTTTCAATCATGTCACTTCATACATGAAAACTGTTATTCAAGTTAAAGTACACTTAAGCTTCTAGAACAACAACATGCAAGACAGAAGAGAGAGTAGCAGGCAATATTAATGAGGACAATGGTATGAACTGTTTTTTTTTCTGGATGAATTTCTCAATTTAGTTATGTTTCAAAGAGGGGATGAGGATTGAACTTGTTTCTCGTTAATAATACATATCATGTATAACATTTTAAATTTCTGAGCAAGAAATATCTTTACATATATACTGCACAGTGGAAAAACTGCAAAAGAATTGCGAAATGACTGATTTTGGTCTTGAAGTGCATGGATATGACCTACTTTTTGAGTGGATATGACCTACTTTGAGTTTATTCTTCTTTTCTTTGTCAAGGCCTCCCAACCCTTTCCTCTTGCGAGATCTCTTCTTTTGTTCCTCTTCCATCCTTCTTGCTGCCTACGAAATGGAAATAACGTCTGTCCAATTCACTCTGCCCTAAAACACTCCACCATTTCTCTTGTCATGTGACATATCACATGATCAGCCTTCTTTTTTTCAGTCATCCCCATTCCCCAAATTTTTCATTAAATGAAAGCCAGCACCTCAGTATTCTTTTTTTTTTGGTGAATAAATGTTGTGCTTTTTACTATTAGAAGTGCAATTAAACTGGAAAGTATACTATTTGAAGATAATGAACACTTCTAAAAGACAGTTATTTCAATTGTTTATATATGAACATAGAGGGAAAGTCTATCTGAAATTTGGCTGTTCTGGGGGTTTGATTAACTTTTTTTGGTAAAAGAGACAGCGAAATCTTACTTCCGAAAAATGTGAAATGTGAGATTAGTTATGAGACACAGGACGAATGGGAACACTTCACGACTCTATACGCCATGTGCGAACCATGTGGCAATGTCTATTTCTATGGCATTCCCTCTATCCTAGGAGTCTAACGCTTTCCATTTTTTAAGTAATTCATGCATAGAATTAACAGTGGTGATGTTCTACCATGCAACTAATTTCTCTGTGTGGAATGAAAGCATTAATTCTCTACAGATTTTTTTTCGTGTGAAAAATTGTTCTTATTAGAACTGAACAATAAAGAAATAATCATAATTTTCTCCTAAATTATGTTTCAGTCTCAACAAGTATTTCCTGAATATGTCCAAACCCTAATAAAGTGAAATATCAAAAATATTTATTTCTGTTTTTCAGATTGGTTGAAATCATCACTGTTTCATCTTATGACATGTGGACACACATTATATCAAATGTCTATACAGTAAAAATTAGGGGTAACATGACTGACACAAGTTGTCATGCATGAATTGCATGTTTATATTTTTATAAGCAGAGGAAAGGGTTCTACTAAGATGCTAAAAATTTACGTTTTATCCCGAATAAAGTGCTCATACAGACATAACTGTGTGTTGTCAATACATCAGTATACTGTATCAGAAGTAGTTTGGATGTATTAGAAATGTTTGCTTTCTACCAAAAAAAAATTCTGATATTTTTTTCCAATATGGATAATACTGAAATATCATGACAAAATGTATTCAATAATGATTTTTCTTTTTTTTTTTTTTAAACCTTGAATAATTGCAAAGTATAAATACCAAAGCTACACATCGATCTACAAAAAATCTATTAGCAAACAGAAATACACATTGCCACTTTAAATTTTTTTCTGATTTAGTCAATTTTCAAATAAATTTTCTTCCCTTCTATACAGCATCCTTAACATTATCTCAATGAATTTCTGAAATTTCTGACGTTTTGATTGGATACATACTTCTTCTCGCTCCGCCTCTTCACGTTCCAATCGCTCACGCTCGAGTCTCTCTTCTTCTTCCTGGTTCATAAAACATAAATTATCTATAAACCTATTTCAATAAAAAAAATTTTTAATACAAAAAAAAACTGTTTTAGAGAAATGAGATGCATTGAAGATACCTAAATCAATACTGTCTGCAGGGTTATTTTTGCCACACGTTATTTTTGCCCTTTCAAACTTGCAAACAATTTTGTCCTATTTAAAATTCACCCAGGTTCAGTTGCATTTAAGAGATAATGCTGTCTTCTTTTGGGACGAGGATAGAAAAGGGCAAAAATAAATTGGGGGCATAAATTTCCATGTGTACAGTAGTGAAACGCGGCAAGAATAATAACTAGAATTTTTTCAATTACACTTCTGATACCTACCTGAGTATACAGAATCCTTTCTACTGTAATGCCATCAATTGTAAGACTTACCTTGTGAGATCCATTTGTACGGTGCCAACCATTGGTTGTTATGGTAACTGGTGTAGCAACAACAACAACATCCTAAAAGTTTGATTGTGCACATACCATTATAGACTGTTTTCATGCAAGTTACTTTGCCTCTTTTCTTAGGAAATAAAATTTAAAATGAACATAAAAATAAGGTGTGAGTAACACAACAAAAGAAAAAGAAAAAACGTTCATGTTCAACTGTAAAATGCAAGCAAATCAACATAAAAACAACGTATTCCATGCAATTTACCATTGATTGCAAGACATCTGAAAATAGGAAGTTTCATACATCAGTGAATGTTTCTGCATCTTTCTAATCATTAAGTATCATTAAGTATCTTAAAATTAATTTCTGGTAAGCATTGACCTACTTTCTGACTATCTATAGAGGATGTTGATAATGGCCTTGACCTAGAAGGAGAAATGACCTGGTTGTCTTGAGATGAGGCTGAGAAAAGGTGAGTTCTGGAAGGTGAGAGAGGTTCTCTGTGAATTGTTGATGGGGACAGTTGTTCTTTATCATTTTGAGATGACAAAGACCCTTGTCTGTCAAATTGCCATCTTTCTGTTACTTTAGATCCCACTGATTTTTGCCTCCTTAAACTGGTTGAAGCTGGCTCAGGTTTTTCTGCTGAATGTACTTGTGACCATTGTCGTCTTATTGAGGAAACATCTTTAAATGACTCGGAGCGCTCCAGGTCTGTGGGTGTGGCTACATGATTTTCATTTAAGGATTCTTTAGAAGTTATAAATTTTGATGCCAACAGAGTTACTGTTCCTGATTTGCGTGAGGCACCATTGTCCATATTTGATGTGCTTGTGGCTTTAAAACTTGTGGCTAAAGGAGATTTTTGTGAATCTGTTGGAGGGTGCCATCTGTCCAACACCTTTTTACTTCCAAATCGGGGTGAATCTGACTTTTCCTAAAATGGAATTGAAAAAAAATAAAATTTCTAAATCACTTACTTATGCATATCTAAATTACTTTTCATGCATTACACAAATGGAAACTTACTGTAATGTTAAGATGAGTTTCACTTGCACTTAGTCTCCCTAGCCTGTTATTGCTAAGATCACCATTTTTCTCTCCCTCAAACTATAAAATAAACCATCATGCATTACTAATAACCATATTTTATCACATTAGTTTTTTAAGCTGTTTAGAATTTTAAACTAATATGTCATTTTTATTCAAAAGAATATAAAAAAATCTAAATAATTTTGAGTAAATAGAAATAATTATGTTATGTAATGCTTTCCATACTCTCTTTTGGATATCTTTGAGTCTATCTGTTCCAGGGGAGATCACTTTAGCATGATATAAATGTATGTCTTTGGCTGTATCCTGTAAAATCAAGGAAAATTTTTAAAAACCAAAATCTAAATATTAAAAATATATATATCTAACTTCTTTGAGAGCTTAACAATATTTCCTTACCTTTGGTGAATTTTGCAAAGAAGACTGAAATTTGATCAATCTTTCTTGAACATGTGACTGACTTGACTCATCCAAACTTAGATTGCCTGGCTGAAAAACAAGGTTAGAAATAAAAGCCATTTAAAAATAAAATAATTAACATTTAATCCGATTCAGAAAAATAAATAAGGAGAAAAAGTATATGTTTTACAAGAATATTAAACCTTAATATCAGTTTAGACAATTTTTACACAAAATACTACAGTGTATACACCAGTGATGCTAGAAGAAAATTGAAGTTTGTGCTAATATTTTTGATCATATATGTGCCTGTCTTTAGATTTCCTTGACAACAATATGCCTTTTAAAACATACGTTATTTTACTTACATGATGTCTTCTGTTAGATCCATCTTTTCTGAGGACCTCAACATGAAGTCCATTTGATTTCTGCTCCTCCATTCTGTCCTCAAAGAAGGTCTTTAACTGACTGGTTTTGTTGCTCTCTGATTTCCTCCTGTCCATTTCTAACAAATTATTGCCTCTGTTTGAATGATTATTCCAACTATCCTCATCAATAAACAAGTCCTCATTCACTGTGTCTTTTGCACTTTGTAAGTTGCGTATCCTCTCGTTAATTTTCAATTCCTGCTCCTCTCGTTCTTTTCTCTGTCTCTCTAGGATATTGTCTATTTCTTCCTGTGTAAAGCATGCAGAAAAAACACATGCAAAAACAAACATCATGCAGTAAAGTCACAAGCATACATAGGTTATTTTTTTGGACATATTAAAGTACATCTGAGGTATGAAAACATTTCTATAGTTATCAAACAAAGCAAAAACTTAATATTCAAAATAAAAACTGAAGTAATACAACACTTTTTACTATTTTTTATCATTCAAGTATCACAACATGCTCAGTTCACTTACTTTTTTTTCTTTCCTCACAAATGTGATGTACTGTTTGCTGAATGATCATGATTTGTATTCAAAACTGTGTACCTTTTTGACATCATATTACCTTCTCTCCTGATTGACCCAGAGTTTAACCTTTGACCTACCCTTTTAGCACGTTCTGCCTCCTCTTGTCTTCTTCTTTCCTCCTCCTGTCTCCTCCTCTCTTCCTCCTGTTGTCGTCTGATTTCCTCCTGTCTTGCTCGTTCCTCTGCCTCCTCCTCTTTGCGAGCTCGCTCCTCCTCTTCGAGTCTGTCCTGCTCAGCCTGTGCTGCTCGACGCTTGCGAGCTTCCTCCTCTGGGTCTACTTGTGGTTCCTCAGGAGCTGCTGGGGTGTCCTACATTTTGAAAGATTGAAATCATACTTCAAAATTAGTACTTAATTAGGTAATGATCCATCCAAATGTCAAGGATGCCTTCAAGGTCAGAACTGAAGATCAAGCTCTGTAGAGCTTAATGAAAACAAGAGGCCCAGGGGGGCCACATCACTCACCTGAGCACTCTGGCTAGGAAAAAGCAGAAATCAGTTCAGTCTTGAGAAGTTTAAACATAAAACTGGTTTGGGGGGGGGTGTATTTGAACTAACTTGAATCTAAACTTCATAGGGATGCTTTTGAATTAATATGACAAATGGCTTTCCTGTTCTTAAGAAGAAAATTTTGATTAATATATCCTTTGTATGATCCCCTGTTATGGCCCCTCTATTCTCCAGGGGATCATGGTTTGTAAAAAATTGAATCTACATTACCTGATGATGCTTCCATTTAAATATGACTAATCATGACTTTGCTGTTCTTGAAAAGAAGATTTTTAAAGATGTTTCCTATATATTCCTATGTAAAACTTTGATCACCCATTGTGTCCCCACCCTACCCCTAGGGATCATGATTTGAACAAACTTGAATCTACACTACCTGAGGATGCTGCCATATAATATGACCCATCATGGCTTTGCTGTACTTGAGAAGATTTTTCCTATGTATTCCTATGTAAAACTTTGATCGCCCATTGTGGCCCCACCCTACCCCCGTGGGTCATGATATGAACAAACTTGAATATACACTATCTGAGGATGCTTCCATATAAGTTTCATATTTTCAAGCACAGTGGTTTTTGAGAAGAAGATTTTTAAATGATGCCATTAATTTTTCATGAATTCATAATTATCTTCCCTTGGAAGATGGCGTGGCCCTTCATTTGAACAAACTTGAATCCCCTTTACCTAAGGATACTTTGTGGCAAGTTTGGTTGAAATTAGCCCAGTGGTTCTTGAGAAGAAGATGAAAATGTGAAAAGTTTACGACAATGACAACGACCACAGACAACGGACAAATTTCAATCAGAAAAGCTCACTTGAGCCTTTGGCTCAGGTGAGCTAAAAATGAAATATGCATGAAAGCTGGTGTAAGATGTAAATGTATTAACAATCTTATAACCCAGAAATGAACAATGAAATAGATATTAAAAATAATTACAGATAAATAGTTCACATCACAAGTATTTCCCTAGCTTGTACATCATTTTCTGGAATGTGCATGTATTTTAAACATAATAAATATATTGAAATATTCTTCTTTATAAATACACTTGCAAGCAACAATTCCTATAGACTATATGTACTACAATATCTACTACACGTTAATAAAATTTACGATACACTTTCTACATAAGCAAACTAACAAATATAATTTGGTCAAAAATCTATTTAGTCAATGGCCATGAGTTCTTGTAATACCCAGAACACTTGTGCATGGCAAATGTAGTGCAGATGGGTCACACAGTGATAACTGGATGTCAATGGAGCATTGGAAATATTACTTCCTTAGAGAAACACCAGCAATGGAGGTTTGATCTAGAATACGGATACAGTTTCAATGGATATAATAAATTCTACACCAGTCTACTTGGAGGGTCAAAGAGTTCAGTATGGTTTTCTCTTATGGGAAACTTAATTTTTCTTTTATGTTTTCTATGGACAGCTAGAGGTCATTTTAAAACATGCTGCTTGAGTGACTATAATTCTACTGGACATATAACATGCATCTTACATGACATAGTGCATTTGTCAAATATCCTTTCACCAGGAAAAGTGACTGTCATCTCATTCATATTTAGGAGGAGTAGATCATTTTATCATTCATTTCATCATTTAATTGGAAATCCCAGAGAATGAATATTTAGGAAGAGTTTATCATTTTATCATTCAATAATCGTTGGTGACTGGGGACTAGGCAGTGTGTGTAAGTGACGTTAGAATATATGAAGATGAGATTAGTGAAGCTAGCTCTACATATTGTAATGGATTCGATTCTGGAGCACATTTCCATGGAGACAACACCATTTTACCTCCTCGTCATATCCGCGTCGGCGACGTGAACGCGTACTTGTGTATGATGATTCCTGTATGCAAATGAGTGATCAAACACAAATGAACAAACACAAACAATCAAACAATTAACACAAAATGTCCCAGATTGCTAGAGAATGATCTAAAGTAGACTAATCTATACATCTAATTACCTAAAGAATATGTTAAATGGATCTAAATTCTATAAGTAAAGAAGTCTATAGCTATCTTGAAGTCAGAACCTTACAATTTTCCAACTGCATTTCTTACTCTCACCAAACCCTTCCAAATAAATTTTTTTAAGTATATAACATTTTGAAATTTACCCCCCCCCCCACTCCCTCCCTCCCCTTTCACAATTATCATAACGGACCTGAATTAGAGTGGTCATTCTAAACTATTTTATTAGAAATGCAATATCTATTTTGCCTATTTCCTATCAAATGAGCAAAAAGGTCAACAAAATACATAAAAACTAAATTAAATTAACTTTAACTCCTTACCTCAGTGGCATCAGTTTCGTCCTCTGTGCCACGGCGGCGACTGCGGCGACTGGTGGTGGTTTCTTCTGTGGTCTCTGAGGACCTAGAAATCAAAACCAAAAAACATACTTATAAAGCATTCATTAACATAAATGCATGTCTATATAAAATTAATACATTTCCTTTCTTCAATTAGTAATTTTTTTTAATTCTCACTTTAATTCCATAAAAATCAGTTTGAATTACTGAGAAAAATTACCTTAAAATATCATTATTTGTAAATTTTTAGTCCATATGGTAAAGCATGTCACATTGAAATATTTTTCATGCCTTTTGCATTTACTTGTTAAAGTATTATATTCCAAACTTAAATGTCTCTAAAAACAATACCTACTTGACAGCACACAGTTTTAGGAACAAAGAATTAATGAACTTTGAAGTACTTTACTTTGAAATACTTCAGACTTCAACTGTCTTGACCAAACAGCACAACAGTCAGATCTTAACATTCCCTTTTTAAATTTAACTCAAATGAAATTCTTAGGATCCATTTCAATGGTTACATAAAAGATTTAATGTACCATGTATATCACATATACATACGAACCTATGAATTCATTCACATTTGAATACTTCAATTTTTGACTGCCAAGTAATGGTCGATTTGTCAATCAATTTCTTCATTAAAACTTTTTCCTATACATTCTACTGTTTTTGTAATTCTAAAGTAAATGTTATTTCAAATTTTATGTAATGTTATATGTCACTTATCATGAAACCTGACAATATACTTGACAATTTAAATGCTAAAGATAAAAATAGATATTTGGGACAATATACAGATTTTGATCTTTTGTGTATATAGGTATGAATTTGATTTAATGAGAAAACTGTTTCATTTGTTATTGAATACTTAATTCCTATTCATTTTTAAAAATTTCTGTGTTTTTTTTTTTTATTTGCAAGAGAAATAACTCTTGTACACATAGTCAAACTAAAACATTGGTATAGATTCTGAACATACAGAATACAAAGTCACTATTATAGCATGGTTTAATACACAATATAGTGCCACATTAGAAGGTGGCTAACTCATCTTGCCTGAGCCTCATCTCTCGCCTCTCCCTGCGTCGACGTTCTAGTTCATCCTCCCCGTTAATTGCATTTACCCCGGCCGCTCTGTGTTAGTGCAGGAAGAAAAAGAATGGATGAAAAATTCACACACACACACATTCCAAAAACTTGAATGCTGGGGAAAGAGGTTGGAGAAAAACTGTACTATTGTCAATTTCAAAAAATGTCTGCAACAGGCAATTAAAGAAAGCTATGATGTCATGTGAATCTGACGTCATCATCATAAAGTGCCAACCAACTAAAAAACTGATTTAATGGATTTAATAAAAAAAAAAAAGAAGAAAAAAATTCAATTCACAAAACCACTATTAATCAGTATTAATTCTTTGAATTTTGAAGATAACATTTTTTTCACTGATACATATAGCTTTTTAGTTGGAATGACCTACTTGTTCACAGACAGAAATGGTTAAACAGTATTTAGAATTCATTTTCAATGTATCTAACTGTACTAAAAAAAAAAAAAAAATGACATCATTCAATTAAGAATCTGAAAGATATCATGCAAATAATCATGACTTTAAGATAAATAATCTTACAGAAAAAACATTGATTTTAATGTATAGAAGTGATTCAAAGACATTATTGTTTTGAAAAGTTTACATGCTCTCTGATGAAAATGAAATATGCTAGCTATAAATTAACATGATATGACAGATGTGAACTGGTGTGGAATTCTACAGAGAAATGTTGATATGATTTGTTAAAATAACATTCTATAACCATGACTTCAAACGTGATGTTTTAATAATGATACATATCTAATGCAGAGTGATTGCCCTTTGAATACACAGTAAATTTACATGCAAAGTATGTTTAATCCTCAATTTATGGAAAAAGATTTTTAAAGAGATGAAAGAGATGTTTATCTTATGAATATCCCCCATCTTTGCATCATACTGGCTGCAATGTTATCTAAAGAGGTCATAAAAGCTTAAAAAAAACTTTCTTATGGAGCCTCTTTACCAGATACAAATCTTTAAATAAGAATTGATAACAAATTTTAAGTAAATAAAATGTCTTTTTAAAAGGTTTCACTTTTTTTCTTGTGTTAATTTATTTCTTGAGTTCACAGAGAAAAAAGTGATATATGTTGGCTAATCTTTTCTGTCTTAGATACATCTAATCATATGATCATTGTTTGGTAGAGGTATGGCTAAGGAAGCTTGGAGCTACGTTTCTGACTGATTCTTGCCAGTCTGTTAGATAAATCATGGCGTGCAACTTCTTGGAATACGTCCAACATATTGCCTTCCAGAAAAGTGATTCTCCAAATGTAGTGTTGTACACTTGTAAGTGCTCGTGCAATCTGATGAGTCTGCACTTGTTTCTGAGGAAAAACAGCTCGAAAAAACAGACATTAACCTCAAATACCAAATTCTTCACAGATAAACTAGAATTTTGTGTGTTTAAATCAGGGAAAATTTCATTATGATGATATGTTTTATGATGAGTTAACATCAAACGTTTTAATGGAAAATCTCTATGTGACCTTGACCTTCAAAAGGCAAGCTTTCAAAAAATTACTAAGCACATTTGAAAAAGAATTGAAACACTGCATGCTACTGTAAAATCATTTTTAAAAAAAAAAAAAATAAGAATTCAACATTTGAGGGCTTTGTAAGTAATAATTCCTCTCTTTTTCAGAAGATGTCCACAAATTTATGCCCCAACATATTGTGAAAAATCCCCCCTCCCAAAATTGGATTTCACAAAAATAAATACCCGGTTCATTTCTTCTAGCTCAAACATTCATAATACTGGATAGTAAGATTGCATCCCTAAATTATGGCATATGCTATAGTTATTTTTGCAGCAGCAATATCAAATAATGTGTGATTAAGATAGACTGATAATGACAGTGTAATATAGACCATGTGGGGATTACATAAACTAGTATCATCTGCCCTATCTACAGAATATACACATGTGGTTATGAGCTTGTGACTGCCAACTGTGCAGTATGATGGGTTCTATACAATGACTTATGCCTCAGATAGTAAAAATTATCCACTGGGTAACAGATGTACACAGCAAGCAATTTTTTTTTTTAAATCTGAATGTTTTGTGGTACATATATATGAGAAAAATATCTCGATCCTTTCACTTGAAATACCTGAGTCTCAAAATAGAAGAGAGATATTTTTAAATTTCTATCAATATACCTCAAAAGTTTAACAGTTTAGAATGTCAGATTATCTAGAATTTGCTGTAATGTATATCCAAAACTTCAGCAGTCTCTAACATTCCTATTCCCCTTAAAACATCCTCAGCTTTCTAAACTATAAATTTAATAAAACTCTTGTAAAATTAAAAAAAAAAAAATTAAAAAAATGATGACATATGATAAAATGACACAAGAGCTATTTAGAAGCTGTCTAGTAAGACCTGTATGAAGTGCACATTCCTTAATGAGATTAATGAACTATGATTACTACACTAGATGAAAAGCATGTGATAATAGTGGAAGATGGTTATAAACATCCGTCTTTATGCAGCAAGATGCACGTACATGAGCTTCAACCTTTCCTCCCGTTCCTTTCTGCGTCGTTCCAAACGTTCCTGGAGGTGAAAATCTTCCTCACTGGTCAACTGTAGCCTGTGTTCAATCATGCACAGCAAATCATGCAAAAACAAATAAACATAAGAAAAACAACATTCAAAATAAACAACGGAGGGGGAAAATCATGTTAGAAAGTTTTAATGCAAAATGACAATAAAGAAAAAGTTGAACTTTATTGTTTGATCAAACACTATGTACAATGACTGCATTTTATTTCTATTGTTGTCAATCTTCAGTGAGTTAAGATTTTCATTTGATTTTAATGAGAATCACATCAGTGATACAAAAATCTACAGGTTTAGGAGAGAGTAATGTCTTAAAAGGCCACTAAATGATCAATGTTGATTTTTCATTTTCCCTTTGTCAATCATGCAGTCTCTCTTTAAAGAAATAAGGTTGCACATGATCTTTGCAATACAGCCAAACCTCATTATCTCAAACTCGAGCGGACCAAGAAAAAACTTACGAGATATCTGAGGATCCGAGATATCAGGGGTTAAATACTTAAAGAATAAGTTGTTGGGACTTCCAAATCACTTCGACATATCCGTGGTATTCAAGATATCAGCATTCAAGAAACCGAAGTTCCACTGTATATGATTTTGCTTATAGAAGTTTGGTAGAAAAATAATCTGAGTAAAAGATTTTATAGGCTAAACTTAATTCTGTATTAGAAAGCCCCCCCCCCCCCCACTTTTTCTTCAATGGTTGTGTTGTTTGTGTTCTGTTTTCTGTCTCCAGAATTTGCAGAGCTAAGAGAAAACTCTGACAACCAGTGCCATTAGATGTATATAGTGCATTGAACTGTTCTGTTCAGCTGGTCTGTAAATTAGTTCTATTCCAAGAAAACCTATAATACTGTGTTCACCCATCACACAGCAGTCATTCACCTCTATGCAAAAATTTTGTGATCAGGAAGTCCAACTTTCAATTATTCTAACACTTTCATTTGAAAGAAAGCTATATGTTTGGGCAATTGCAAGTTCATTACATGAGCTGCTACATGTAACATTATTGTATGTTAAAGATCATAACTGCTTCTGAAATTTTGACAACATAATTTTCTGCAAATCTTTCAACCCCAATTAAAACCTGACCATTTTCACTGCGAAAATATAATTTTTTTAAAAATATAATAGTGAAACATGCTTGAAGAGAAATGCCAGGGGGCAGACAATTCTGATTCATTATAAACATAATTTTGTTATCTGACTGATAAGTTCATAATTAAGAAATAGGTCTATTTTACAAAGGTTATAATATTTTCAAATAGTGGACTTTGTCACATACACTAGAGTGTACAAGGATATGAATTATGATTTAAAAAACAACAACAAAATATATAAAAGGTTGCAAAAAGAAAATTTGAAGCCGAGTGGCTCAAGTAAATGCAAACTGATAATTTGGCTTATGTATTCAATAACTGTATAACATCCAATGCTGTAAATTTGAGCCTGATAATTTCATGTTCTACTGTAAACTCTCTCTCTCCTACTCATTACAAAATTCAACAGATATTCTACAATAAGCATTTTTTCCCCATTCATATTTGCAATTTGAAGAGGGGATCTTCAATGTGTTTTGACAAGACTTTCTAGGTGTGTTTAAGCAATCTTTGCCTCTCTTTGAGAGCTAGAGGAGAGTATATATTTTGTATGTGGGTGTACGCGCAGTAGCAATATACATCTTCATGTCTATATAAAGCTCAGAGTGCTCACTGCCACTGACGCATTACCAATGTCTGCTGTGATCCGACAAATAACAGATTTTTATTTCCCCTAAATAATTCATTGCATTAGATACTATATCTTTCAATTCCTTTATTATAAGTAAAATTTATAAATACATTGCTGACATACAAAGTGTATTCTTATCATTAGTTCCTTAAAAATTACTCACAATGAGCAAGAAAATTAAACATATCCAATGTATGAGTCTATTATCCATTATTTAAAATGATAAAGTTGATGAAAACAAATAGTTTTATATTTCTACACTTTTGTTTATTCCTTCATCTTCACAAACTTTGCTTCCAAAAAGGAGACAAATGTTCAGAGTGATAGTGTTTATTTCAATGAAAGTTTAACTGTTTATTTTCATGGCACTTATTGCTTCTTCAATCTGGTGACAATAATTTTGCCTTTTGTCAAATATGTACATGCTATGAAAGAAACATCTATTTGTTTTTCATTTATCACGTTATACTATTTTTACTATGTGATTCAATAAATCTGAATGGTTTACTTGATATCAACTGCAAAGTTATATTTAACGATATTGACTTGAGTTACTTAAAGCACTTCATGCTCAGTCGATATGCCTATATCTGTGAAGTCGATATATCTATGGATCGACCTCATAAAAGGGCTATCTTTGTATAATAACCCTCAGATTTCATCACCATGTTTATTACTAACAAAATACTGTGGTAAATGTAAATACATGTATTACAAAATACTGTCAAGACCAGAATATATTATAATGCATTAAATCATAAAATCCCTGATGTTGTGGATAACCATGTCACCCCCTCCCTAGTTCTGGTGCTGTTACGAGAATTTCAGTATAGATGTATCAAAAAGAATCAGGACAGAAGTACTCAGATGGTAGTAAATAAAATGAAACATATCTGATAGGAAAAACATACTAGTATCCCAAGTCTTTGCAGATCACGCAAAATGAGAGTATATATCCATTATTATACTGAGTAGAGAAAAGTTACAGGTTTACAAAATATAGAGTTCATAAAGAACCAATGAGGTCTTAACAATCTATGAATTACCAATCAAAAAAAGTGCAACTACAGTTGATTATCAACGTGCAGTTCTAGTTGAATTGTAACATTTCTCTGCTGTAAAGTGTAGTATGAAAACATTCTGTGTCAATGATACATTCATACCTGATCTTTTCTCATTTCCTATCCAATATTTAATTGGTTTTTAAGCCTTAAATGTCATTTAAATATTTGTTTTGCAGTTATCAGTTGTTACGATCAAGACTGTACATTTTTCAAGCAATGAAACAGAACAAATGAAAATGTGCACATTTTTTAACTATTTGCATCATATCCAATGCAATTGTTAATAAGCTGTCATCTCTTAATTTAATGACTTGTACAATACAGAATATGATCATTAAAAAGATGATTGCATTTTGATGGTACCAATCACTTAAACTAAATGACTATCATGGCATAGTTTCTGAATTTACTGTTTGCAAATAATATAAATTATTACAATATCATTAAAACAAATAGCTGTTTGGCTCTCTCAAACAAGAATAATTGTTAAAATATATTGTGAATCAAAATGTGAATTCAAATGTGTCATTCAAATTAGTCATCAAATTGAAGTCCTAATTGTTAAATATTGTAAATTAATATTTTACCTTGTGTGAATGCAGTCCGAGAAAGAAATGCGACTCAAAAGAAAACGGCGAATCGTAGGATATATTACAAATGAATTATTGTGCGAGTATACAAAAATAATTAATTGTGATGCATATTATGGGGCTTGCAGACAGGGTATTCTCAGAAGACTTTAAAGAAATAGAAATAAATGATGAATTTCTTTTCATAAATTTTTCATGTTTAAGTTAAACTTGCATATGTGACTGAAATTTGACCAAAATCTGCAAAACTATCCATGAAATGCTTATTTATTATCCAAAATCGATTTATTCTAATACAAAATCCCAAAGTAGCCCCTCGTGCACATGCAGAAATCATAAATGTCATAAGAAATTTCCATGATACTGCTGAAAAACACTGGGGTTGTCAAAGCAACCGAATTCCCTAGAAGATGCCCCTTGCCCAAAACATTGTCAAAAAGAACTGTTCCTAGTGATACTGGTAGGAACCATTGGCTGCTTTACTGCATATCTGTATCCATAATGTCAGCAAAGTTCTAGCATGTTCTTCATTAGGTATGACAAATAGAATGGGTACTTGGTAAAAATTAATACAGGTTTATATACCAGGTATTCTACTGTAGAATTTTTATGCAATCATTACTGTACAATCAAGTTAGACTTTGCTCGCATTGCAGACTTGGAATACTTTGAATGTGAAAACTACGTAGCAGCGTCGTGTCCATTGGTTCAGATCAGAAGATGAGGGAACCAGCTAGGAAACAGATGGAGATGAAAGGTAATTCTGTCGACATCAATCATCTTTATATATACAATGCTGATTGTAGAAATCATTCAAAGGACTTTTGTTCGAAGAGGAAGGGTGAATTTGAAGGTATTTTCCATTGGGTGTCTTAGATCATATTGCAAGCAAAGTTAAACAAAAAAATTCCAAGGGCAGGAAATGAGATAATTGTGGTGAATAGGAACAAATCATGAATCACTGCCCTAAAAACACCATAAAAAGCTGTCTGTACTCTTATGGTTTGTTAAGTAACTTGTCAAAATGACTGATGATTTTGTCTGTTTAAGTGATTTCTCGCCCCATTATATTCATTCTATTTCTTTGGTGAATGAATTACGATTTTTGATTCAAAATATGAGAAGATTGACAACAAAAGAATATTCTTCCTATTTTTGTTTACTACCAATGGTTTTTCTACTTATAGCACTATATAGTTATCAAAGATTAATTTGCTGCCAATCAAACATGCTCCAATGAAGTTTCATGCTTTAGTGTCTGGGAAATCACTCCAAAACTTTTCAAAAATCTAAGAACTATTCAGATCGATACTAATTAGGTCAAACAGTTTAGCTTTTATTTTTATTAAGGTAAAAATAGCTAATCTTCTGGGGGGGAGGGGGGGGGGGAGTCATTACTATAGTGAAAGCTAAGAGAAGATAACTTACCCAGCCTCCTCTTGTTGTCGCCTGCGGCGACGGGCCTCACGTCTTTCTTCTAATGTGCTCATGATGATATGTGTGGATTAGTCCCTACGAAAATGAAACCCCTGAAAAAGAAAATATTTTCATTTTAAATATTCCATCTTTTAATGGTATTATTTCCTTGGCATAATATCAGCATCCATGCTGTAAGGTAAATATACATTTTTTTATTCATATGTACCATAGAATCATTTTAATTCATGGAGGGTCAATGTTTGTGGGTAGCCAAAACTTTTTTTTTGACAACTGGATGTAATTTCATTCTTGGGTTACTTGTTTATATAGAAGATTACTAATTTGACAAAGTTACCGTTTGTGGGGATGTAAATTCATGGGTATGAGTGAACACAGAATTCATGAACATTGGTCCCCCACAAACAATGATGATTCCACAGTATATTATTATTTCAATAATCATTTTTATACATATAAAAGCTGAAGGCTCATTCACTGAAAAAATGGTTCAGAATCATCAACCAACAATATGAAGCTTCCCTTAAACTTGGATGCCTGCATTTCAAGTTCACATATTTAGTCTTGCTATTCCGAAGATTTTTTTAACTTTGGACCCATGTTGTATTGCATCTTGGTGTAAGGAGACAATCTTAAATTACCTTACATTCACACTGCAAGAGGATGAATATTTATCTGACTAAATGTAAACCATACTGTTCTGTAGAACAAGATTTTTATATAAATATTTGTGGTCCAATCCAGAAACCCCACAACCATAATATTAACAAAGTTGCAACACTTTATAATGATCGAGGCTTTCATATAAGTTTTTGAATTATTTAGGCCCATTTCTTCTGCAGAGGTAAACTTTTAAAGGTCTAAATCACTCTTTTTCTTTTTCATCATAATCCCTTCCTCACTGATGTATGGTCCTTGATTAGAAATAATTAAAATCCTTTTCTAAGGATTGCTTTGTGGCAAGTTTGGTTAAAACTGGGACTGTAGTTCTGAATATAAAGTCAAAAGTATTAGAAGGTAAGAAACTGACATACTAATAAACAGCTGAAAAGACAAACACCTGACAAAAGGTAAGAAACTGACATACTAATAAGCAGCTGAAAAGACAAACACCTGACAAAAGGTAAGAAACTGACATACTAATAAACAGCTGAAAAGACAAACACCTAACAAAAGGTAAGAAACTGACATACTAATAAACAGCTGAAAAGACAAACACCTGACAAACTTTGATCAGAAAACTACCTTCAGCTGTTGGCTCAGGTGAGCTTAACATACACACACACTCCCACGCACACAAAAAATCTCTGACAATTTTAGGCAACATAACAAAATACAGTGGTACTCAAGCAAACATCAACTATAGCAATCTCAACAAAGATGGTGCTGTAATTTATCATTTACAACAAAGATATATAATTACTCCATTTTTCTTTCTATCAGTTAGGCCAAAAAAATAATAGTCTTGTTTCCTGCTACCGGCTTAAAAAAAATAGGGTAGGTAGGTAGGAAAATTATTTTATTTTATATTTTTATTTTATTTTTTTCCGACAGCATTTTTTGGATATGAACTAATACAAGATCAAATTAAACATGTCACAGCTCAACGTTGTCTTTTAAAATTAAATTTCATCTCTTTTTATGCACAACTCAAGTGGTATTTTATGAAAGTCCATATTTAAAACAAGAATTTCATGAAATGCTTGTTTTGTGTTAACACGGAAACCGATTACGGTGACAGAACAATGAAATTCCAGAAATTCCCGATTTTTTTTTCTTCCAAAACTTAAAAAAAACTTTAGGGTTGGGGGCTAAAAAATAGGGTAGGTCGGGTAGCAGGAAACAAGACTATTATTTTTTTTGGCCTTATAATGCTGTTGTGGTGCATGTGTGTATGTATATATAAAACAAGGGCCTGTTGAATCCAGCTGTATTGGTTCCAGCTGAAGGCTTCCGTACACCTGTCCCAGTCTCATTGGAAGCATCAAGTGTGAATCATACCACTCCACAGTGCTCAACAATGCCGAAAGTTTGTAAATACAGGATAGGCTTCTGATCTTCCTGACAACTTTCTGAGATTCCAAGACTCTTTTCCAAATAAGGAGATTTTTGAATTTCCCTTAATTCAGAAGACTATCAGCTTAATTGATGTTTTATCAAATTCACATGTTTCTTTCTTTTGAATTTCAATATGTGAAGGCATGTTTCAGAAGTTCAAAATGTATTATAGAGTGAAGAAGTTATCTTTCCAATTTCATTATCATAAGATTCATGATTTTTGAATATATATTCATTGATAATCTCTCTCATTTTGTAATTGGTATTTGACATTACAATTATATATGGACAATGTAAATTCTTCATCTTAGTCTTTTCTTTCTAAATACCATATTCACCCTATTGAATGCCCTTTTGACTTTTCTCAATCCATGAATAAGTCCCCCCCCCCCCCTCAAATAGTTCTTACCTTGTTAATTAACAGGATTAGATCAAGATGCATTGTCAATATCTTTGAATTACTTATCTAATTTCTAAATATAGTGTTTACATTGTTTATAAATGTTCATGTAGTTTGCTGTCACATTACACTTCTAGAATGTAGGGGGATATACCACTTTTAAAATGCATTTTAAATGGAGTGCTTTTATAAAAGCATGTTTCTGTTTGTTTTAATTACTATACATCTTGTATTACAACATAATAAAGGTTTATAACAGAGAGACCTAATACATGTAATAATTAAGTTCCCCCTTTTTCTAATTTTTCTAATTAGGGCATTATAGGATGCATATGATACTGTCAAATGAACTTTCGCTAAATGTTTCTGGTAGTTCCATCAATATCTGACTTAAGTTGGGCAGGATTTGTGGAACTGGAGGGGCTTACTCTTTCTGCAAGAATATGAGGATTTGTCAAAATATTCTCTCTACAAGTGACACAATACAGTCACACATCTAAGCAATAAGACAAAATACAATGCATTCTTACACACACAATTCAACAATTTAAAACTAATTTTACTCTTTATACACCAATTTAGCAATGATGTTCTATTGCAATGGACTTCAATTTCTATCAAGAAAAAAAAAAGAATATCAAAAACAACATGTTTTTGCCAGTGTTTGCCAGAGGTACATCAAATGAAACAGAACCTAACATTTATTGTATGTTTACCAACAAATGACAACCTCTTATCAAGATTTGGATGAGGCAGTAAATTAATGAAGCCCAGATGAGACATTATGCACCAGTGTATCTATAATGGTGTAATTCAAGATAAGACATTCCAGAAATATTTCCTAGTAATGCCTAGAAATCTTTCACAATATCATTGCTGTTAAAAGTTCCATCAATCAAGAATCCAAGTTTAATTGTTCTTTCATCAGCCTATAATCCAGATTACTATTAAATCTGATGTTCTAAATTCATGAAGTCTTGGAAAAATATTTAAAACATACCAGAAACCAAAACTTTCAAGAATGGTGTCCTTGAAAAAAAAAAGCTCAAATTTAATATCTTGATTTTATTTTGGTTCTAATAAAAAGAGAGAAAGATAAAAAGTAGGAAATGATTGAGTCCATGTTTACATCAACTAATGGTTAATGTTTGTCTTAATATAAACCAAAGGATGGATTCTTCCCATCTCATGTCTAAACTGCAGGGTCACATTTGTGCTTGAACATGTTGAAGAGGCCATAGCATGGGTCACTTTCTGGTCAAAGCTACAACCCTTAACCACAAAAAAATTACATACAATCATACATGAAAGCAAGCCATGTTACATGTCACACCACAATGATACTATCCAGGGGATTTTAACTAATAATGGCTCTCCAACAACAAGCTATAATGAATGTGTTGTTTTAAACCTTGTGACAAGATTATTATAATTTTTTTTAAGCATTCCATAAATCTGTCATAATCTCACTCATAAAGTAAAAACATAGGTTAACTTGAGCCAGTCAGTATACTGAAGAAAAAAAGCACATGATTTGTCATCCAAATACCACAGAATAAAAGTTAGCATCCCTCTAAAATATCCAAATATATGATTTTATAGCAGTAAATCTTATTTTCAATTTTCCTGCAATATCCCTTACAGAATGATGTCATAGATAATGGGGCCAGACAAATCGCAGAACCAACACTGTGGAATGCCACATAAAAATCAGCTTAATGTGTTACCAATTTTTTTAAGAATTTGCCAATAAGACTATATAGCAACTGATGAGAAAAAAAGATAAAATTTTATTGGCTCCAAAATATATATAAGGCACTTGTGCCCTGGAAGTAGGCTGGAGTGAATGGCTGGCACTTCATCAAAAAGTTTTTTTTCTCTCTCTCTCTCTCCCTCTCCACTATCTGTTTCTTATCACTCAAGAACACTACAAAAACCTGCCCTCTTAACAATGCCTGCTCCTCTTCCACCCCAGCTCTATACTGCTCAAGGTGAATTCAAAGCTTCAGAAGTTTTGTTCACACCCAAAGACATAAAATGTTTAAAGAGCAAACAAATTTTCACTGAAAATCTCTATCTTTACAGCCTAAAACTTCAGGGCACCATGGAGACTGACTCTGAAGCTAAAAAACTTTGTAATCTCTGCATGAAGTTTTTACCATGGTGATTGAATTGAGGAGGTGAGTAATGCTCCTTAAAAAATGTGGCTTTTCGATTTCAGTTGTTAATTAGCCATAATTTCCTTTTATTTTGAAAATGCCTCATGATCATGTCTTGATTACAGCTATACCTTTGCTCGAATGACAGATTATATAGGCACGTTGGCCTTCAGAACCTGTAAGTGAAATCCATTCAAGGTCAGAAGGATAAGCTACTAGAATGCTTCCAACAACATCAATTTATAATTCTATATTGAAGATTCCTGTAAAAATTGTTTTACATTTGACTTAATTTATATTTTTCATGTACAGCTAGCCCTTCCTAAATCCTTTGGGAATCTTTGTATAAAAAATATGATGAAAAACTTCAGGAACATATTATGTTTTGCAAAAAAGGAGGATGAATTCACATTAGGTCTAAAAAGGTACATGGTAAAATATCCTGTTATTAAAGTAGTCCTTGGAAAATTTGCACAAAAAAGTTTTTTAACACTTACCCAACTTTGCTTAGTGCTTATGCAAACTATAAAGCAGTGATACGATGATTTACTCCAAAACACATGAAAGTTCTACTAAATTATCCTCTAATCCAAATCTGAAGAAAAACAAAAAATTGACAGAAGGAACTCGAAAGTTTACAAAAAGAAATTCCCAATAATTTTGACAGATCTTCTTGTTCTTCTGAATGTTTAGGAATCTGTGACAGAAGGGGCGAAGTCTGCAGAGCCTCTGATTAACCAAGACCATATGGGAGGGGCTCACCAGGGGGTGAACTCTGCCAGAGATGTTTGCATTGCAGCTGACTCTGATCTTTATCAGGAGATGCTGATCTTGTCTAGTGTCTCTTACTGTCTGGTGGCCCACAAATCATTCATTAGGAATCCTCTAATTGACATGGCCCCACTCTAGCTAATCTGACCCTTCACATTAAACTTTGGCAAACTCACCTAAAAATGTGCTCCACTTCCACAAAAGAAATTACTGCTACCTCACTTTGAATAAGAATGTCATCTAAAATTTTCCTCTCTTGTTTTTTGTAATACAGAACCTTGAATGTACCAAACACAATCTTTTGCCAAGGAATTTTACAACTGTAGAAACTGTTGTAGGCCTCTCTAAAGAAGAATATTTTCATTCAGATGGTATGTACAGAGCTGATAATGACCTGGAGAGGGTAGCTCAAGATGTAACCAATCAAAGTCTTTAGATCAACTTGGAGCTGAAGATGCAACTTCGTATTGTAGAGGCCTTTCAAGGGAGATAAATTCAACTGCCTCAAAAAAAAATTAACAAAAATAGTTCAACATTTTCAAAAACTTGAGGAGTGGTATTAAGAAATGTATAAAAACATCACAATATTTATTGCAAATTAATTCCTGTGTGTTGTGGTTCTCCAAAATACCCCCACCCCCTCCCAGACAGACACATAAGATTCTATTAGCATCTCTCACCCCCTGCTGGGCAAGATCTGGCTGGCTGACATTCCAAAGCAAGTTATTTGGGAGGCAAATAAAAAATTATGTAAATTCTCTGTAGTATTGCGAGTAAACGACCCCCAGAACCTTGCTCCACACTTAATTAGCAGATACCTTAAAATCTTATGAGAATTATCATCCTCATTTACCTCAAACCCACAAAACTGAACCAAAAAAAAAACAACAACAAAAAACAGAGAAACTGAGTTAGGCAAGTTGTAAGCAATTAAGGTACAGAAGTTTGATTAAACTGCATTGTTGCACCTCTTAAAACAGCAGTCAATTACCTTGTTAAATGCTTCTGTATTGACTCATTGCTGATAACTGGTGAAATTTTTAAATCAACAAAAAATATCTGCTGATTAATTACCATCAGAAACAATATTAACAGTGATACAGTGTTCAACTGACATATTGTGTCACTGTGGTGGCTCAGTAGACAACAGGAGATGCAGAATGAGTAACTTATCAGAGCTTCTACATGTGTAAGCCACATTTTATGACTTAACAGACAACAGATACTCCTGAAAAAGGGAGATAACTCTAATTGCTCCAGACAGAGTCATAATTTTTTTTCTTGCAAAAATATGACATGCATATTCAATTGGATGTTTTATATAATTATCTGACACTGATAAATCTTTATTTCAAAAAAGATATAAATCTGCCATATCTTTAGGAATTTACACTGGAATTTGAACCAAGCAATATACTGCTATATGACAAAGACCATTTATCATATGTCCAATAATGGTAATATGATCAATATGCATATGAATTATCCCTTCTTTTTTTTTTTTTTAAAATTTTTTAGGAATATCACATTGTATGGGTAAATATAGCAGAATATCTTCAAACTCCAGAGGGGATGATCCAGATATCCAGGAGTAGGGTTTTATGTTGAGAGAAAGTAGAGGATGACTTGGCTCATCAATTTTTTTTTTCCCTCAAAGAAATAAGAACCCTGACATCAGGTTATCCATTTGATGACCAACTAATGATCCATTATGATTCTTGTTCCACAGTGTTTGTCCACTATAGCGTGATAACAAGCCCTCCCTCAACATTCACGTACCCTGTTTTCTTAAACTACTGTGATTTAAAACGATCCATTTCAGAATTATTTGCCAATTGTGTGAATGATATATTTTGCACAGACAATCTTTCAAACATTACAAAACTGAATTAAAAATGGAGTGGTATTTTTTCAACATTTCTGATAAAGGGGTACCTGTCTATATAAATTAAAGAAGGAATCAAATGTGTCATCCATTCTAATGCCCTGCTTTGAATACATTAACCAAGTTTGTGTGGCCAAAGAAAATAAACTCCCTTTCAGAAGGATGTTTTATTAGGTCCAAACAATGACAAGAGACTTATCACCTATGTAATATACATGAGGTAGTCTGCTAATTTAGGATGTGGAAAGCTTTTACAAACAGAATGTGAAAGAATGTTGGATTAGCAATAAGGCAAGCATTTCCTATTGCTGTGTCAAGAAGTGATATAAATCAGCTTTCACCCTGTAATGGAATATAATAATGCCATATGACTTTTGGAACTATTTTAGATTTAGGGAAAAAAATCAATGCACCAATCTTTCTAAAATATCTATAAAATATGTTTTTTTTTTAATTTTGTTTAAGAAGTCTGACTTCTTGAATGGTTTTTGAAGATAGCTTGAAGCTATAACCACTCCCTTCCACAAATGTCTGAACTTAAAATCAAGTAAATGATGCAAAAATTTTTAATATGGAAAAAAACACATGGTAAAGTGTAAAATGTTCTGCAGGGTGGAATCATATCTTATCAAATGTCTTAACTAGAAAAGTGAAACAAGATACCCACAGTGCATTACTACCAACTAACTCATTTATCATCTGACAGTAACCTAATGGGAAGATAAAATCAGAGTTATCTCCCCCTCCTGCTGAGAGGGACACCTGGTGATGTGTCAAATGTTTTGATATAAACTATAAAGATCCCCCATCTGGTCTGTCTGTCTGGTCATCAGTTCATTCATAAAGTGTGTCCGTTTCCCACTTGACTACTTCAGCATGAAATTGATCATTTAGACTACCTGCCAACAATATTTACCTGGCCCAGTGCTTAATTAGATCTAGAGTTTTACTTATGTCAGTTCAAATAAATCTTATCTTTCATGTTCAGCCATTGGGTACAAGGACCAATAAACCACCCTATTCATGGTCAAGTTGTCATTCAATAGGGGGATACATCTGAAAGTTAATTTGATGTCTTCTATAAACTTAACTGACCATTATTTATGTGTATAAGCATAGTGGACTGCCTAAAAATAAAATTTGACTACCAAATGCACTGTTTTAAAAGAATAAATTAAAAAAAATTCATATTATGGCATATGGAAAAGTTTGACAAAAGAAATTCTTAACTCAAACATTAAAAAAAATTTAAGTACAACAAAACAGTAAAAAGATAATTACTACTTGTAGCTTTCATAGGAGTATGGCTAATTTACAACAGATCAATTTTATTATAACAATTTTAGAAAACTATTTTCTAAAATATAGCAGAAAACGCAATTTAAAAAAAAAAAAATTCAAATCCTGGCTAGTCACTTTAATCTTACCTACAGGGAGATATCTTATATGGTCCCCTTAAAAATCATTGAAAAGAAAACAGGTAAACAAATACTGAAATGATATGTAAAGATGCTGTCAAGGAAATGAACGAAGTGCCTGCTGTTGCCCAACCACTGAAAAAACTATGGAGGTCAGACCTCATTAAAACACCATGGGAGGCCAGCTCAGTCTTTTATAATATGAAAATCCCTTTGTAGAAGATGACAAACAGTACACAAGGGAGATTAGCAGAACTGGACCAGGAGACTAAAATGAAAGTCCTTGAAGGAAAGATGAGGGGTATATCTGTATACTTAGTTTGTGGAACTATAGACATGAGGCAAGGAGAGTATATACGTGTGAAAGAGAAAACATTTATCAGAATGTCATAAAAGATATATTTTTCTTACTGACAATTTAATATGTGAAAATTGGAACTAACTTTACATGCAGTACATAAATAAAGCAATGTTTTAAGACACATAAATACATACATACACCCCCCCCCCCCCTCCATCCTGAAAATTGCAAGTAATTTACCTGATTTAAGCTAGATTGACTAAGTAACTAAATATAAACTTCTTTATTTGCAAATTTTAAGTTTTGTGTCAGCAAGTATTAGCCTAGTTGCCCTTTTTTTGAGTCTGCATGTAAGTATTGTCTGTGTCTAACATAAACTTGGTGTACATTTGCCTAATTTTGCTTCAATTTGAATTTGATATTCATCAAATATCTACTATAAGCTGGGTATTTGGCAGATTTTGTTGCACTGTATGTAATATGGTAATCATGTACCAGTCTTTACCACCTTTCCTACAAATGTGATTGCATCCCTCATTACAACATATTAATGCAGCTCATTTACAACTCTGAAAGAACAGCACTTTGATGTACAAAGATAAGTTACAATTTTAAAGCTTAGGTATAATTACTGTCATTTCTCTTCTGTCATTTTTGCAGCATGCACTTAACTTAATGCTTTTAGTAAAAACATGCAAATACCTAATAAAACTGAATCTGACATACACTATCACAACACAAATCAATGGAGGAAAAAAAGTCTAGACGATAAGTCCGAATGATATCCATCTCCATAAAGTTTAACTTTCAGTTTATGACTGAAATCCAGAATTGCAAGATTTATTATTGAATGAATGTAAAGATATTGCCCTAACAAATTGTTCTTGACCTTTGGGAACCAGTTAAAGAAAATGAACAAAGATTAGAGTTTATACATGACACAAATGGAATGAAGGGGGGCTTATTGTGCAAGTACAAAGATACGCTTGGTTTCAACCAAACTTGGCCCTGACAATAGTACCACATCGCACCACTCTTTAGCACCTGTGTTGGCAACAGTTGTATTGTTTCTGCAATATTTTCTTGTAAACTATATCTTCTACAACTGGTAAGATTGTTTTTACAGATGTCATTCAACATATAAAAATGTCAAATTTGATTTTGCCTTTCGATAACGTCAGGTGTATAAATGGACATTCACACCAGCTATGCAAACTTAGTTCGTGAATGCAAAGTGTGCCCAAATACTAAAGTCTTAAAGCAGAAAGAAAAAAAACTTTTATTGACATTTATATACCCCTTGAAGCAGAGTTAGAAAAAAAATGCCCCATTTAAGTTAATGGGTTTTACTCCAAGATTTTTCAAAAGTTAACCCTGTTTGCATAATTATTTTAAAACTGTTTTTTTTTCCTGACTAAAATTTATTTCATTTATATGCAACTTTTTATCTCTTGACAGATTGCCGCTATTTATGCAGCAGACGTCAAGATTACTTTAGTGAAATTGAATTGTGATGTGTTAAAGAAACGCATTAAAATGGAGAAAATATCAGAGTAGTAATGGAAAAGGATTCAAGACAGATTAAAAAAGATCATATACTCTAGCACTTCTGCTTAGCTTCAACATCATGTTCTTTCCATTTAAAGCCATATTGCACTTTATTTACTTTCAACTGAATCATGATATGCTCAAAAACCACATTAAAAAGGACAAAAAAATTATAGAAATAATGGAAAGGATTGAAGACAGATTATGAAAGATCGTATACTCTAGAAATTCTGCTTAAATTCAACATCATGATCTTTCCATGAAACCCAATGCACTTGATTTACTTTCAATGATTACAGAAATATACTTTCGAAAATGAAATGAAATTACCTACATCAGGTGGAAGATATATCATCCATCAAGATGAATGCCTCTGCTACATCTATCATGATTGCAAAAATGCTGAGATGAGAATTTTAATCACATTAAAATTAAAAGATGAAATAAATTAACTTGAAACAAAAAGACAAACAATTGTCACACAACTACCATAAAATATTAGTTTTTTTTTTTTTTAAAGTTTTTTTTTTTAGTTTTTTTTTTAGATATGGATAATGGATTGATAAATATGGAGTCTGAATGCCTTATGTTACCCACTAAGATAGACTATACACCTTCTGTTCATCTCTACGTACTGAACTCTTTAAAATTTCTGAATTGGCCAACAAAGAGTTTTGGTGACCTTGTTAATTGATTTGTTGCACAGATTAGGATTAATGAAAGGATTTACACAACAAACTTGGAATGCACCCTTAAAGTGCAGCTTTGTTGATTTTCAACCATATACATGCCCTCAATTAACATACTCATTGAATGCTGACAATTCAAATATGGCTTGCAATTAAAATGATCATTTTCTTGCCAAACTATGCTTTTCAATAAAACTGAACATTTAGTGCCAGTTGCTAACTGTAGAGATCACAAGAGTTGATGAGGATTTCTTTCTTGGCAAATTCCTACATAACATTCCTTGTACAATTGTCAGCTTTCTGCACTTATCAATCAAAACTTCTGATAAGAATCTCTCTGATTTCTATCAGATTTGTTCCAACTTGGTGAGGAGACACATAAACACACATTTTATAGTAAGTGTTTTGCACCTTGTCTCTCCCCTCTAATAATCAATTTGGTGGTGGATCGGAGCTTCTTCTCAGAAATGCTGATTTGCAGTGCCTTGGAGCAGTAAAATTAACAAAGCAATACAAAAGATAATATAATATAAACCTCACCAGAAAAAAAATTGTAGGTTCTGCAATTGATGTATGGCGACTATTGTACCTACTTACTAACCATGTAAATAGAAGTAGTGGATGCTAGGCCATGTGGTTTGAATTAGAAGTATACATACATATTGTGCATTACCTCTTATTCTTTGCCTGATAATGAGGTGGTATTCATTATTACAATACCCTAGTAAGCATTGCAATATGACCCCCAGACAGCACAACCTGTGGCTAAACATTAATTCTACACAAAGCTATTCTCATTCATTACAATTTTTGTTCATTAGGATTGGAAACCGAATAGAAAGAAAAGAAAGGAAGAAAGGATAAGAAGCACGATTTTTTTTTCAATGTAATAATGCGCTAGAAATCACTTAGATCTTGCTAACCTTATTTTTTATATGAGACAATACAGCTTATTTTCTTATATATCTTTCACACAATTAGTAATTAAACTGATTAACTCACTCAGACCTCAATATACCAGCTCAAACACATGCAGCATTAAAAAAAAAACCCATCTGAATTGATCTGCATCCATAAGTGCTCAGGACTAGAAAAATAGGTGGTCCTCTGGCCCAATGTCAGTAAATTTTGACGTAAAACCTAAGCTTTTTAAACAGTTGTCCAGTGGATTTAGTGTTCACTTTATTTTCTTTGTAAGTTTCAACCAAAAAAAAAATAATAAAGGACCAGCAATGCTGAATATTGACGATTCAAATGACCAGCCAAAATAAATTATTCTAAACCCTGACACCTAAGTCCATTCAAAAAATATATACATTGATTCTTTCTTGCTAAAAGTATATGCAATAACCTCATACTATTAAACTTCAGCTCATGAAATCCATTTAATAAAAATTTAGATATTCTAGGAACTGTACACAAATCAAACAGATACATGAATAGGAGTGAAATTTTAGGTACACTCTATTCTTCAAGTCTTGCAAATATAGTCCTAATTTCTGCTTATACTTACCCTGAAAAGCTGTTAATTGGTCCAGACAGCTTATCTGGTTTTCTCCCCTTTATTTGTCAAAAATGGCACCTCAGTAGCTCTACAAAATATAAATGCCAAAAATAAGGTACAAGAAAATATCCATTCCTTTTTAATGAATTGTGAAATGTACAATGTTATATATATATTGTAAGCCTGTCAGATATAAAACACCAAAACTCTGTTGTACATTTTTCTATATAGCACATGTATAATCTATGACACTTAAGTCACAAAATCATTTCAAATTCAGTGACTTTGTATCACATCATTTTATATCATCATGCACATATACATACATGGAGATAGATATATTTTTGTAAACATGGGAATATTGGGAGTATTATTCTTAAAAACACTGAAACACAAGGAAAACTAAATTCTATATCCAATAACTGTGTGGATTGAATAACAGACCTAAACACCTTAAATTTGGGAATGTTTGAAGTGAAATTCTAGGTGAACTTTGCACATCAGACTGTTATATGGGGACTGGAAAATATAACCCTTACCTTGCGACATGCAGAAATAAAACCCAGCCCAGAGAGAGGCAGAAGATCAGAGACGGAGATGATACAATGCATAATCAAAGACGCAAAATAGATCCATATGGGAGGCCCAACAAAGGGGCAAAAGATTACATGTAAACTATAATATCATATTGCTTTTTTAGCTTTCCAAAACATATGGAGGGAAAAGAATTAAAAGAACAGATCTTGAGTGCTGATGTTCTTGGAGCTTATCACCATCATATATGTTAATTCAGATACTAGGTAGTGTGTAGTACCTTCAATTAATTTGGCCTCAATTGTGACATTGCATGAATACAACATTCATGTTCATGATTATGGTAAACAGATGTCAATAATTTGTCTGCAAGTTTCCAGTAGCTTTTTAGCTCTCTTTTTTTGAAAGGGTCATCATTGCATATAGAGAACAGGTTGCCTTAACAAAAAACAAATCATGTGCAGAAAGGTTATATTTAACAAGAGCAAAAAGTCAGTGTTGGGAAGATAATAATCCCCCCTTTCTAACGAAAAGCAGAGCTGGTCATGCAGTCACAAAGTTAAAATGACATGAATAAACATTCAGTGAATTTGAATGAGAGGATATCAATTTTAAAGGATTAAGTCAACTTGACTCATAGTCCATAATTAATGAATGAAATAACCAGCTTTGATCAATGTTCAAAAGGTCAAAATCATGATTCTTGACTTAGTAACAAAGCACTAAACCTCTTAAAAAATAAAATTGGCTTTGCAGTACAACATTTCAGATTTCTAATCCATCGCCACTCCAAAATATAAGCACGATGCTACTTCATTTCATTATTATTATTGGTATGCAAAATGGCAGCAAGTAATCTGCAGATATATGGTCTGCAACAGTAATTCAACCCTGTGTTGCACCCCATATTCTATCTATGAATGTAAGTATATAAGATATTTACTTGGCTAATTGGTAAAACCTGAAGTATGAACACTTGGATAATTGTCAGAGAATGCTACTGACATCATTTCTTACCCCATAATGACACACTGGAACAGTTTGTCATACCACAGTGAACCAAGATTTTTTCAGATTGTTCCATGCTTCAAATTTATTGTTTTTTTTTTTAATTTATCCATTGAGAAATAATTTTATGCATGTGTATTAAGTTTAATTGCCCAATAAGAAATTAAAAAATTCAGCCCCTTATTTGATTAATTAAAAAGCATGATATGACTCAAGAGAGACTAGGACCAGTGTGTGTTGGTCTAGAACATACTACCAACCCAGAGACAGTGGGTAGACAAGGAATGTCAAACAAGATCTGTTACTGCATTAACCTGTTACAGGGTGTTAAACCGAACAAATGACCAGATTAACTACAGCTATATCTGAATTCTCCAATGTCATTTTAGAGATAAATTACTGATGCCAAAATTCTTACCCAATTCATAGACCTGCCACATGCTTATTTAATGAAGAAAATTGTGGGAGGGCATCCGCAGATCATTTCAGTTTAAATAATGTGTAAAATGTTTCATTTGTTAGCATAAACATTGCCTATTTAGTTATGCATGTGAGTATACATGTATCATTTAAGTTTTTGCTTTAACTAACAAGAACATTCAAAGACCATTGTTATCTGTCATGACCTTGATCTTTATAATATCAGGTTTTCATTCTCTTTGTGATAAAAATATATACAATATATTTCAGGAGGTGAAGTTCTGACCATACATGTGTTAAAATTACATCCCTGACGTACACATTGATTAACAAAAAGCAAGGTCATTAAGTGTAATAGACTGACAGCAAGGCCATACAGACAAAGACACAGACAATTCCATACAGACCAAGACACACATAATTCCTTTCAGACTAATAGAGATACATGAAGGATAAACAGACTAATAGACAGACAGCAAGGATATACAGACTAATACACAGACACAGACAGCAGGGATGTACAAACTAAGACAAACAGCAAGGCCATACAAATAGACAGACATACAGCTACATAGACAGAAGGCCATACAAATAGACACACAGACAAAAAGGCCATAGAGATTGACAGACAGAAAGGCCATATATATTGATAGACAGGCAGGAATCCATACATACTGACAGACAGCAGGGCCAGACAGATTGAAAGCGGGAAAGTGACTGCAAGGCTTTATAGATAGATAGACAAGAAACTGCAAGGCCATTATGATTGATAGACAAACAGAGAGCCACACACAATTGACAGACAGCAGGGCCATACAGATAGAAGACAGGTAGCAAGGTCATACAGATAGACAGTGAGCAAGGCCATGAAGACAGATAGACAGACAAATAGGTCAGTCAAAAGAAAGACAGATGACAAAACCATACAGATAGACAGACAATCAGAAAGGCCATAAAATAGACAGAAAAGCCATACATATTGATAGACAGATAACAAGGTTTAACAGATAGACAGACAGAAAGCAAGGCCAAAGGGGAAAGAGTTGTAAAAACAAGGCTAATTGAATCTTAGCATATGGCAAATACTGAACCATGTTCTAAGATCCTTTAGAAATTTTCAATTGGATTCAGACTTAAAAGCAATCTACAAATGTGATTCTGGAAAAAAAAAGTTAACTTATTAAATATCTCAAAAGTTTTGACATGATAATTATAAAATGGCACCTGATCCTTGTGTAATTAAAGATAATTGAACCAGCAATAACCAAACTTCGTTGAAACCTTCTGCGATGCAACTTAAACATTGCATTCAAAGAATTTTTGCTATCTACAAAATCTTGGATTGAGATTCGACAGTGTTCTCATCAAGTCTGTCTGTTAACTAGAAATAGTAACAAGTGCTGCCAAAAATACCCACAAAAGCCTTAAAATAAGAAATGAGTAGCATTCACTAACATTGATAAATGCTGCATCTATCAACGCTTTCATTAAAAGTGCATCATTAAAGTCTATTTCATTGAATTACACAAATTGATGAGTCAGCCATTCATTTTCTCCGTAGACACGATCTCCAGATCCCAAAATATGTCTGCCTAGTTAAATCCTCTGTATATCAAAGGTTATCAAATTAATAGTTCCTCCTCTACACAACGGTAAGCAGATCAAAAGATCGGCAAAGTTTACCTAGCATGTAGAGTAAGGAACAAGTCAAAACTTCAGGTGTCTACGTATTCATAGTTTATTTAATTTCTTAAACTCTCCCCTTTCATTATTGCTCATAACCTTCTTTTGGTGCAGAAGAACTACAAACGCTAGCTTCTGATGAGCAGCTGAGTATAAGGTAATCATACTAGTACATGGGAATATCCTCGTCATGAAACAAAAATTTCTTTGGGGGGGGGGGGGGGGTCAAAAAGTATTTAATTAATAATTTATAATTCAGGGTGCCATGAATACATGTACTGTAAAATATGCTTATAACAAAGTGCCAGGGATATGATTTAGTTCACAATATATTTTTAAGAATGAAACTTGCTTCGCTGTAAGCATCAATTCATTATGAACTTGTTCCCCATAAGCATGTTTTACTGTATTAGATTAAGTGGCTTTTGTTAAACATGTTATGAGATAATTAAAATGTGTTAAAAACACAAGGTTTATATAAAAAATTAATAAAAACTTATACCTAAGTATAAATTTTAGAAAATTAACTCTTTATAAGAGCTTATTGTTTTTAGATTAAAATGACAAGGAGAAACATTGTGAAATGTATTCCACTGAAAGGTATAGAGATCTAATTAAAACTTGAAAAAAAAATCCTTCAATATACATGTACAGCATAAAATGTCTGGGAATAAGGGGGAGGGGGAGGGCTTGCATTTAAAGATATGTCATGACAACAAGTACATGTACTGCAAATATCGGAGACAATGACCTTATTCCAAACATCAACTTTTCATATGTATTTTTCAGTAACTGAAAGATTGCTAGTTCAAATCCCCCTGTGGGCACTTAATGTTATGTGTTGTGTCCTCAGACAATGAACTTAATCTGCACTGTTTCTGTCAACCAAGATGAAATGGGTACCACCTTACGCTGGAAATTAACATGTGACTTGTGGCCCATCTAATGGGAGTCAATGTCTCTCATCCCCTTAGCACCACAGAAACCAGAGGCCTGTTCAACAGAGCGAACGTTCACGAGCACTTGCCAAATTCCTTATCCCTCAAACAGAAGTGTTCACGAGTGCTCATGAACATTCACTCTGTTGAACAGGCCTTGGGTATAAGCTTCATGCAGCCTTATGAGCCTCATCAGCCCCCAAGAAACTTCAACAGGGACAGAACATCTCTGAAATGCAGGTAAAGCAGTAAAATAACTGCATATACTTGAAGAATGCAACACCATGCACACCTGTACATAAATACTTATGGATTCCAAGCAATTTTTTAGCTTGAATAAGTTATGCTTAAAGGTATTTTGTTTGTAATAAGTTGAATATTTTGTAATGAAGAATACCATTTCACCAATGTGAGGACAGGGTAATAGGTATAACTGTAATTTATTTTTAAAGAGGTCCCATATGAAATAAAGAAAAATATAAGGAAAAATGTGACATTAAGCAAAAGTCATTTAATCAACAATTGCAAAATAAATCTATCCTTTAGAAGTTTTTTTTTCCAGAATGCTATGCATTTTTTTTCATAATGAGTTAATTTCCAAAAAAAAAAAAGTTTCATTTAGAGATTTTCAAAAGAACAAACTGCTAATTACAGACCATCTGCATCCCCTCCTACCTCTTATAGAGGGTACTGTATACAAAAACCAATGTCATTCCAGAACCTCCAGAGTATAAATCAATCCAATTAAGAAACTTCAATGAGAATGTTCTGTGAGTACTAACCCAGGAGATGGTAACCTCTCATCAACGACCTCCTCGAGAGAGAATCGTCGACTGATCTACTCTTGTAAGTTATAGAACCACTCGAAAAACACTTCATACACCTGAAAAGATCAATCAAGGAACAACATTTACCTGATTATCAGCCTTTCTGCTCACCTAAGAAGAATCAAATCTGTAATTGTAGCCAAAATAGATTTCTGACATGATTTTAAAACTGTTTAGGGTGGAATTACAAAGGAGACTGTTTGCTCACCTCATTGGCTGTCGAAAGAGGGGAAGAATTTATGGCGAT